ACTGAGTGGCTGTTGGGTGGGAAGGCATTTCTGGAGTAGAGCAACTAGATCTCTATGCTAGCCTCCCCCCTGCCATCTATCCAAGGCGGTGACTGGAGAGAATGATTGCAGTGGGGTTACCTGTGGAACTGCTGCCTGCAACTACAATGTGATGCTTGTCCCACAATCTGTCAGATGCTGGCTTACCCTGGAGCAAACTGAGCAAAAGCTTGCTTGGTGGGGAAGAATGACTGGAATGAGGTCACTGCAAATGAGGCCCTTCCTGTCCCACATGCCCCTGCTTCCTGACCTGACAAGTCCAAGATGAACAGCGAGAGCTAAAGGGCTCTTTCCTGGAGGCTCTCAGCTGGTGTCTCTGCCGACTTCCAGCCAGGTTGGACTGTCTTGACTGCAGCTGCTGCTTTTTCTTCTATTAAAAAAATGAAGTCTATGCAGCACAGTGAAGAGATGTGGATGACCCAGAAAGTCTACATCTGCCTCTAGTGGACAAATAATCCTTTGGGAGTACGACCACCCCATCTCTAGGATTGTATTCTGGAATTCTATTCTCCTTGTTGGTTTTACAATAGTCTTTTCTTTGTGCCCATTTTCTGTCTCCTGCGAACAACTTGAGAGCTATCCATACAGTGTCAGTGTTTTGGAGAGAGGCATCCCTAAATTTCTGTTTGTAAGGAGGAAGATTAAACCAGCCCTCTTTTTATTTTATTTTTAAATTTAAATTTAAAATTTATTTTTTTAAAAAAAATACTCTTAAGGAGGACATGATTTTCTTAGACACCTTTTGTTGTATTGTATTTATTTTCCAATCCACATTTTTATTTTAAAGTGGAGCTTTATGGTTTTATACCATAAACTGTTGATCCCCCCCCCCCCCCCGCATTCCTTTTGTTTCTGTTAGGTTAATATTTTAACCAAGAGGTAGGAATGAACAGGTAATGTGTAATGGATTGATTGTCTGCTTTCTAACAGCCATCCTTCCACCACCTAGCGGGAGTCCCAGAAAAAGGCTACTTTGTGTGGTTCTCTTAGCTCTTCTAGCTCCCTCTGATGGGGGAAATATACTATTATGATAGTTTCATTTTTAAAATTCAGATGGCTTTATGGAAAAATAATTTTTCTTGTTTGCAGTAAACACTTTAGGAGTTAAGGGTTCGTTTGTGTCAGAGCTGGCTCCAGGTCCCAGCTCACAGAGGACCAACGCTAGCCGGCAGTAATGTACAAAAGTCTTTATTGAAGTACAGTTTCCATTTTCAAGCCGGAGCGCCCCAGCTCTACGTCTAGGGGTTAGATCGGCGAGCTCCATCTGAGTCTCCGCCCTGTACACCAGTTTAAGATTCTAGCCTTACTCCACCTCTTACGTCTCTCCTTTCTCCTCTGGGTCCTGCTACCCCCCGGGGTCCCTTCCTTCCTGGATTCTTCTGACGCTGACCCCGCTGACTCCTCCCCTCTTTCGGCGGGCTTTGGGACCTGGCTCCCTATCCGGGCTGCCAACTGCGCCGCCCTCCTGTACATTTGAACTTGCGCGCGCGCCCAGCCTTCAACCTTCCTCTCGACCGCTTCCTCGCTCCCCGATGGAGGCGTGGCCAATCCTGACTCATGTCCTCCCACTGGCAGTGCGCCGCCTGATCCCGATGCCTGGGACTCCTCCCCCCCTACTGCACTCTGGTGTGGACGCTGGTCCTGATTTCCAACTGCTGCTCTCTGAGTCCCCTCTGGCCCCTTCTTCCTGGGGTTTCCGCCTCTGCACCCCCCTTGCTCTGACCAAGGGAGCCCCTTTCTGTGAATCTTCCGATTCGCTGGAAAGACTCAGAGACCTCGGACCGCTGTCATCGCTAACATTTCCTTCTGACTCCTCCCCCTCGCTCTCTATTTCCTCCCTTCCTGTGCCTCTGCTACTGAACCCCTGACATCCATCCCCTCGAAGCCCCCCTTCCCCCTCCCTCCTTCAGGTGTGGGTACTGGGCCCTCCGCCGTTGTGGGGGTGAGTGCCGGATACAGTTCGTCCCCGTGGCGTGCATCCAGCCGGATAAGTCCGGCTCGTCCTCCGTGCTCTCGCCGACCTCAATTTCCTCTGCTTCCATCTCTGCCGCCGTGCCGCGAACCCAAGGTCCTCCTCAACACGTCCATGTCCGTCTCCCCGGTCTCCTCCGGGACGTTGCCTGCTGGCGACCCCCTAACTACTTCCTGCGCCACTGCTCCTCTGGTTGGAGGTCCCACTCAATAGGAACGGGGTCTGAGGCAGACCCCGCGGGTGATCCCTCCGGGGCACGTGCTTCTAGTGCCGGTTCCTCGTCCGAGGTGAACCCCTGGAAATGTGCTAGCTGAAAATGTGGGTGTGAAAAGCCAGTCGTCAAATACTCTGCCAAGGGCCTGTGGGGAAAAGTGCATGGAACTCGCCCTGAGCCAGCCCTCCAGAGCACAATCTGGCACCTACTGTTGGCGCTAGCCGGGGTGGCTCCTTCCTTGGCGAGGAGACCCACTCCCTCCTCCCCCCATCTCGAGTCTAAACTTCTGTGACTTCGTTGATGGGTTCCGCCAAGGACCCCCAGGGCGCTTCCTGAACGGGTCTGGTGCCGTTCCTGAACTGAAGCAGGTGCTTGTAGGGCGGAGCACTGATCTATGGAAACTGGGTGCATTCTGGATCCTCCGCAGTGTCAACCGGAAAGCCACTGATTGACCTGTGCCTCGACTTCAGGGTCCTAGCTGCTTATGCCCTAGCCTTCTTCTTCGCTAACGATCTGGCCGGCACTGCCTGGGCTGCTAACCAAACCCAGTCTCCACCTGCATGTCTTCAACCCTTCTGTGCTTTGTCAGCCTGCAGTTTGTAAAGGTGCGCTTGCTAGTTCTAACTGCTCGGTTGTTCGTGAACCTCCTGCAACTCTGATGCTAAGGCTTCCGCTGCCTGTGGTGGCTCTTCCCCGCCCTCGCTAATCCCGGAAGGTTCTGGGATGCCTCCCGTTGTTGGCGAAGAACGGGTGTCACCCCGTGACGTTGCTTCTCAGGTTGTTGTAGGCGAACTCAGCGAGCTGCAGGTAGTCCACCAGGCCGGCTGCTGATTGGCGTAGCATCTCAGGTCCTGCTGCATGTTGGCGTTGACTCGCTCCGCTTGTCCGTTCGTCTGCGGGTGTCTCGCCGACGCTAGGCTGATCTTGACGCTCAGTGAAACCCATCAGCTTCTGCCAGAAGTTCGAGATGAACTGTCGCCCGGTCGGAGGTGGATAGACCACCGCCGTGGCAGACCGTGAACCCTGAACGCGTGGTCTATGAACAGTTTGGCGGTCTGTTCCGCCGTGGCCACCTTCGCGCACGGAATGAAGTGGCCATTTTGTGAAATATGTCCACCACTCACTAGCACTGGCTGCCTTGCCCTCGAGTTAGTAGATCCGTGACAAAGTCCAGGGCCACCCTCTCCCACGGTTCGAGCGGTGTCTGCAGGGGTTCGGCAGTCCCGCCGGCGGTTTGTGCACTGACTTGGCCCTTGGCAGGCGTCGCACCTCGAGACGAATCCGCGACCCGCATCTTGGGCCACCAAAATCTCTGGCTACTAATTCTACCGTCTTCCTTTGCCAAAGTGCCCGGCGGTGGGTGCCAAAATGCTGCAGTACTTTCGGAGGTCGCCTCCCGGTACGTAGAGGGCCCTCTGGATGAGCAATCCGTCGCAGCATCTGAACTCGTCGTCCTCCGCCGGTGCCCTTTGCACTTGCCATCTTTGCTTGCGCGGGCGGGGTCCTCCTGCAGGCCCGACGTATAGCATCCAGGGTCCACGGTTGCCAGCTGCGATCGCCGCTTCGGTGCGAAATGTGCTTGGCCGCTGCTGGTGCGCCCGAGGTGGTTGCGGCTTTCTGACAGTGCATCCGGCGATGTTGTTGTCGCCTGGGATGTACCTCTATCCTGTGTCGAAATCGCAAAGAACCCCGCCCATCGTATGTGCCCTCTGGTCTAGGAAACTCCGTCGTGCGCCTACCCAGGCTTTTATGGTCCGGTAAGGACCTGCAACTGTGTTTGGCTCCAATGAGGAAGTGCCGCCACGCCTTGAATGCTGCAAGGAATGGCTAGCAACTCCTGTCCCAGATGGTGTAGTTCTGCTCTGACTTGTTGAGCTTCCTGAGTAGAAGGTACACGGTCTCCAGTCCCCATGCGGGTCTTGCTGCAACAGTACTGCTCCCACGGCTCTGTCTGAGGCGTCCGTTTCAACCCTCATCGGTCTGCTGGGATTCACATGCAGTAGCTGCTCTTCGGACGAGAAGAGACGCTTGAGTTTCTGAAAGGACTGCTCCGCTTGCTCCGTCCAGATGAACTTCTTCTTCTTGGAGCTGAGCGTGTCGGTGATGGCCGCCGTCTGCATCGCGAACCCCTTGATGAACTTGCGGTAAAAGTTGGCGAAACCGACAAACCGCTGGACCTCCTTCCGATTGCGCGGGCTCTTCCAGTCCAACACTGAGCGAACCTTGGCGCTGTCCATGGCGAGCCCCTTGTCCGACAACTTGTAGCCCAGGAAATCTACCTCCTTCATGTCGAACTGGCACTTCTCCAGCTTGGCGTACAGCCTGTGCTCCTGCAGTCTCTGCAGAACTTCCTTGACGTCTCCCTCGTGGGTCTCCTCTGATTCTGAAAATATCAGGATGTCGTCCAGGAAGCAGACGCATTTCTTGTAGAGGAGACCCGCCAATACGTGATGCATGAAGGCTTGAAAACAGTGGGAGCCATTTTGTAATCCAAAGGGCATAACTCTGTATTCATAGGTGCCCAGGGGCGTGAACATGGCAGTCTTCCATTCGTCGCCCTCCCGTATGCGAATCAGGTTACGCCCCTCGAGTCCAACTTGATCCTTCTCGTTGCAGCAGGTCATCTATCTTGGGCATGGGAAGGCTGGCTGTGTTCAAAATTTATAGTCACCAGTTTTGGGTCTCTTTGGACTGCCCCACCCCCGGATACCTCAAACTCCTGTTCTGGTTCAGCTGATGTCCGCCTGGTCAATCTTGTATAAGACTGGAGGCCGCTTAAAAACCAAAACGCGGGGTCGTCTCTCTTCCTAGGCAAATCTGTTCCGCAGTAGGAAGGTCAGTCCAGTGGCTGTGCCGTGCAGCCAACTTGCCTATACTATAGGCGTCCGACATGGCATGGGATGACTTCTCGATTCCAATTTCACCGAGATGGCCACCTGCCCCCAGCAATTCCCTGCCATCCACCGTGACAACTTTCAGAGGCAGCGTGGCTGGCAGGAGTGCTATGTTGTGCTCTTGAAGGAAATCCAGTCCTATGAAGTCTGCGTTACTACCAGAGTCAATGGTAATCGGCACTTCCATAGTGAGTCCATTGGGTAGTTGGAGCGATGCTGTGAGCTGCACCACTGGTTTGGGCGGGAGGGGGTCTGTGGGCTGCAAAATCTCTGGGGACGGCTTCATTGACGTGTCTGGTTGGGCCCCAGTGCCTCTTCCTCCAACCAGACCCTGTCGTTTCCCTGCTGTGGCTCCCTCTGCTGAGTTGCTTCTGTTACTGTTGCTGAGGCTGCAGTGTGCTTGTGGAGCCTCTGGGGACACTCTTTCGCCATGTGCTGAGCACTGTCGCAGATGTAGCACTTCCTGTTCCCTCTAGGAGGCTTCGCTTGACTGCTCCCGGTGTTAAGGCTCTGGTTGTTGACTGAGCCCTGGCGCTCCAATCTCCATCGGTTGCTCTCCCTCCTTGCGGAGGTGGGGATTGCACACGCGCTGCATCCGTGGGAAGAGGGAGGTGCTCTCACTGGCGTACGTCCCCAACGTCCTTCTTCTCTGTTCCATGGACGTTCTTCCAGACGCACCCCAATTTGCAGCGCCCGCCGGACAACCTCCTGAGTGCTCTTTGGTCTCTCCCCCCTTGCAATCTCATCTTTCACATTTGCATTCAAGCCTTCCCAAAAAGGTCTCTTGCTGGGGCAGAATCCTTCTCCCCTCCCAGCGCATTGACGACTGCACAAACGGGGGTATGGTACTTCCTTACACTGGCTCTGCCTTGTTTGAGCCCATGTATGTCTTTTCTGGCGATTTCTTTGTCTATATTTGATAAAATACACGAATCCATCGCTTTAATGAATGCATCCGCATTTTGGAGCGCCGGATCCTTATCTCTCCACAGATTGCGCAGCCACGCTTTAGCTTCCCCATGCAAATGGGACAAGATAAACCCCACCTTTTCTTGCTCATCTCTAAAGTCTTTATCCAGCAGTTCCAGTGCAAACAGCACGTCTGCTCGGAAGTTAGGGTACTGCTGCAAATTCCCATCGAAATGAGATACCAGGCTGCCTCCTCTTTCCCCAGCCCAATCCCCTCTGATTTGGGTCCCGGTTGCCCCTGCTTAGCAAGCACTTCCAACCTGGCTTGGAGATCCCTGCAGGCGGCAGCCGCTTCCTCTTCCCTTTTCCTGGATGCGAGTACCTCCGCGTTGAGTTGTGTCACTGCATTTTGCAGGGCTGCTAGTTGCTGTTCTGTAGTCATCTTGCCTGACTTTTGTGAGCTCGCGAAGCACCAATCTTCTCCCCTCGCTGCGTCCACTCACGTTACGAGGTCTTTGGTGCAAAACTTTTTGAGATGGAGCTTACTGTCAGAGCTGGCTCCAGGTCCCAGCTCACAGAGGACCAACGCTAGCCGGCAGTAATGTACAAAAGTCTTTATTGAAGTACAGTTTCCATTTTCAAGCCGGAGCGCCCCAGCTCTACGTCTAGGGGTTAGATCGGCGAAGCTCCATCTGAGTCTCCGCCCCTGTACACCAGTTTAAGATTCTAGCCTTACTCCACCTCTTACGTCTCTCCTTTCTCCTCTGGGTCCTGCTACCCCCGGGTCCCTTCCTTCCTGGATTCTTCTGACGCTGACCCCGCTGACTCCTCCCTCTTTTCGGCGGGCTTTGGGACCTGGCTCCCTATCCGGGCTGCCAACTGCGCCGCCCTCCTGTACATTTGAACTTTGCGCGCGCGCCCAGCCTTCAACCTTCCTCTCGACCGTTTCCTCGCTCCCCGATGGAGGCGTGGCCAATCCTGACTCATGTCCTCCCACTGGCAGTGCGCCGCCTGATCCCGATGCCTGGGACTCCTCCCCCCTACTGCACTCTGGTGTGGACGCTGGTCCTGATTTCCAACTGCTGCTCTCTGAGTCCCCTCTGGCCCCTTCTTCCTGGGGTGTCCCCCTCGGCACCCCCTTGCTCTGACCAAGGGAGCCCCTTTCTGTGAATCTTCCGATTCGCTGGAAAGACTCAGAGACCTCGGACCGCTGTCATCGCTAACATTTCCTTCGGACTCCTCCCCCTCGCTCTCTATTTCCTCCCTTTCCTGTGCCTCTGCTCCTGAACCCCTGACAGTTTGATTAGTGTTTTATTTCCTCCCAGGAATCAAATGAGCCAACTTTTTGTCCTCACACTTTTAGAAGAAAAGGCCCTTGTGTATAGCAATCTTCAGGGGTCTCTGGGTATGAGACTGCATTTTTTGTCATCCGTTGAAGGGGAGCCAGGACAAAACATCGCCAGCCGTGCCTCTGAGGCCAAAAAACAGTTTCAAGGTTAGCATGAAAAGCCCTTCCCTCTCCACATAAACAAAGACTCCAACTGAACTGCACAAACTGTTTGCCAAATACCTTTATTGTCAGCAAAAGTTAGACGAGGCAGTTTGGGATAAAGAAGGTGGTCTGCAATTTGGGTAGTGCAGGCTTTGCAAAGCGGATTGATTAATTCAGCCTCTGACCCCCAACCCCCCCGCAGCTGGTACTGGCTGTGTCTTTGGCTAATATCCCAGGCTATGGAAAGGGCAAGCCATTCTCCAAAGCAAAAAGCAAATCACTATCTAGTTATGAATAAACCTCAAACACCCACAATGGGATACTTTGCAAGTAACCAGAGTCCCCTCCTTCCCCACCCCCACAGCAACAGACACAATGTACCCCTCACATTTAAACTTATCAGCCAAAAAGGAACAAATACATCCTTTGGCAGATGGCCTACACAGGTCTCCGAAGGCCTTCACCTCCTCTCCCAAGTCATGACAAAAGTCCTCTCCTGGGCTCGCAAGCCCACAGATTCCGTCCAGAGATGAGATTTCAAGTGGGAGCAACACAGCTCTGGCCAAGCATGCAGGAGTCCAGGTCAGCCGGCAGATGGAGCCAGCTGCTGCATTTGCTCACAGGACGGCTGAGTCTTCGCCTGCTAGACGATAGCTGGGGCTGTTTGGAATCTAGATGCTATATCAGCAGCCCCAGAAGAAGATGGCTCAAAAAATGAAGCAAATCCCCTGCTTTGCTCAGCTTGTCCTACCCTCTCTAGGCAGCCAGCCATTAAATGACCCACACTAAGCTGGAGCGATAGTTGGCTGCAGAACGTCCCTGGAATAAAGCCTGGTTTGTGTGACCGCAAGCAGCCATGTGAGGACAGCTCAGGCCATTGCCCAGGACACACTTGACGGATGAAGGGAAAAGGAAAGGAGGACCCAGGGGAGAGAGGCGGCTCTCTGTGCTTTTATAGCATAGCCTTTGTTATAAAAACAGAGGAGGGAATAGAACGCCAGCCTGACCCAGGGAGGAGACAGCAGGGCAAGCACAGCTACGTCATCCGCTCTTGTGACAGGGCCAAGCCAGGAGTTGATTTCACTACATCTAAACACACACGGAGATTAGTCTAAGAGAACAGAGTGGAAGTGGGCTGAGCAGGAAGCGGAGATGGAGAGAAGAAGCTCTCAAGGCTGGTCTTTTGCTTCAGAGTCTTGATCATAGATGTAACTTCCGACAGCACCTGTATTCACACCTGCAAAAACAGCAGAAGCATCAATGGAGGAAAGCAGAGAGGCCCAGTTAACACCCAGCGGGCAGAAGAGGAAAGCAGAATGCACAACTTTCTGTGCTAAGTTTCTTTTCTGCTTCAAATGGTGTTGCTCCTCCCACTTGGACCAAGAGGAGTACGCAGATCTGACTTGTAACTGCCATCCCATGTGAGAAAGAAAGCCTCTCTCTGTTTGGGGACATAGCACAGCACTGACTAACTTCAAAAATACTCCATGTATGTGGGCAATGATGTTTAAGTTTGAGATCAAACTGGTATCTATTATTATTATTATTATTATTATTATTATTATCATCTTCTCATTGTATTTTTTTTTAATTATCTCTTACTACATCAGTTTATGTCAGGCCTGCTAACCTTCTTGTCTCTTGTTTAACAACTGAGTTCTGGAAAATCCATCTGTCCCAATATCAGACTCACCTTTTGGTCCAAAGAGGATCCCATAGCATGGCTTGTGGCAATAAGGCTGTCCATCATGCTGGAGGGAAGGAAAATGGGAGAGAAATACATTGCTGTAAACCATAAGACTAGTCTCTCCACCACTGGAAGGCTTATTTGGATGGCCAACTATTGCATGACCAAGGAGCCTTTCCTATTGGCCAGTAACAGGTATGTGTGGAAGTGCTGGGGGAAGGGAGAGGCAGGGGTCTTTCTCAAAGACCCCTCCCAAAAGCAGATGCTGGCCAAGGATCCAACTTGGCCCATGTGGCACCGATCATAGTGAAATGCTGAATCTCCCTGCCTGGAAATGACCTTGTGCCTAAGGACAAGGGCAACCCAAAAGGCTTGGGCCTGCCTCTGTTGTGGCTGGTACCCAAGGATTCTGCATGTCTGAGATCTCATAGGCCAAAGCCATTAATATGAAGCAGTGGTATTCTGTGCCTGAACAACATGGGAGCTTTCGCATCCAGAGCTGGAACTCTCTGGCTGTGTCTACATTATGCCTTTATAGCCCATTTGAAACACGTTTCCCCTTCAAACAATTCTAGGTACTGTGGTTTGTTATGGATTGCTGGGAATGGTAACTGTCAGGGGTAAACTACATTGCCCAGAATCCTTTGGAGACAGAATGAGATTTAAATGTACAGTGTGTATAGCCACTAGGAACAGTGCAGAACTGCAATTTCCCCCTCCTATTCTATTTATTTATATTCTGCCTTTCTCCTTAACATGAATTCAAGGAGGCATAGAGATAAAACAGAAACAGCTAAAAATACCGGGGGGGGGGGTAATTAACATACAGATAATTACAATTTTTTTTAAATCGCAGTCATTTCCTTTAAAACAGGCAGCTCCAGTTGGAGCTTCTGAACCGTTTTCATAGGAACTCATTTTCACGTAGAACTCATTACAAGAACCCAAACAGGATCTAACTACTGTACGGCGTGTATCACAGTGGCCAAGTCAAGATCTCCACAAAGAGGCACACCTGGCAACTAACTCTGCCACTGCACTTCCAGCCACCTCAGAGACCTGGGCTTCCACACTCAGGGCTGAGTCCAGGAGCACACACTAAATGCAAACTGGTGTTTTCGGGGGGGGGGTGGCCCCATCCAGCACAGGCTTCCTATTGTCTGTTCTGCCTTCACAGTGACCAAGAGACCTCTGTCTTGTCTGGATTAAGTTTCAATTTGTTCACCCTCATTCAGTCCATTACTGATGACAGACACCAGTTTAGAACCAAGACACTTCCTTGGAAAGCTGAAAAAGGAGAAATAGAGCTGGGTGTCATCAGCATACCGGAGCTACCAAACTCCCAAACTCTCCCAGCAGTTTCATATAAATGGTAAATAGCAAAGGGGACAAAGCCAAACCCCGAGAGACCCCCAGGTCAACGTCTCAGATGCTGTGGGGCACCTGGGCCCTTCTTTGCTTGCTCCTTTTGCATACATACAGCTGCTCTTTGGACACAGAAGAATGCAGCTTGTTTGCTTTTCAGAGCAGTAGCAGAGGAAGCCGTGCATGCCAAAACCAACTTGAGTTCATAGGGGAAGAGCTGCAGCCAGGATTTCTGGCTACAAAGCAGGGCTCGTCATCAAACTGCTGTATCTGTTAGCAAACAGGCAGCTAAACATACAAGGTTCAATCTGCCTCTAGGTTTATAACTTCTGACAGTTCTCACATTGCATTTTTCCTTCTAGAAGATGAAATGCTATGTCAAAAAAGCACTTTACACACATGAAGAACATATAAATGTTATCTGGCTCTGGAAGTGTATGCTGGGAATCCACAACAACTGTATGAAGTGGCTCAAGAGAACCTAAAACAGGAGGGAGTGTTTAATATTCCAGAGCAGACAAAGGACTATGCTCTGTGCAGGTCACAGGGACTAGAAGTACACTATGAGAAGTCACAGTCATTAAGGCAGGATGACTCCAAAGTCAGAGGAGATGGAGTGGACCTTTTCTGAAAGGTGAGCAAAACCCCTCTCTAAACTGGGCCGATACATACCGTGTAAGCTCTTCACAACTAAGTTTGGAATAAACCAATGCCACATTAACCTGCCACTGGTAAAAGTCAGTTAATCAGAGCCTCTTCCTCATTATCTTTATGTAACAAGCATTTCCTGCTAATGGTTTTTACCGATTCTCAGAGGGCTTTCACAACCATGATATTTTGGAAGTGCACATGTGAAGTTGCTCAAAACCATAGATTACTCCAGGATACATTTTGTGTGTACCTGCTTATCTCAAAGCATGTCATTAACCCAATCCTCAGGTTGTAAGCCATTTCCCAAACTTCTGGTGGCATTCCCACAGGCAAATGCTTCTGTGTTTTTACTAAAACCATGACCCCTAACAATGCATTTCTAGTGACTGTGTTGCTATTATGGTGAGTGGTTTGAAATTTGTAGTGTACAACCTTTTATGAATTGAAAACAACACCTATCCCTTAGAGTAGGAAAATCTCCATAAGCAAATGCACATAGAGAGAGATTCTATTGGATTGATGTGCGGGGGGGAGGAGGGTTTTCTCAGTATCCTTCACCAATATTACTTCTAGATAAGGAGAAAGCCATTCAGAAAAAAATGAAACTATCATACAAAAATTGTGAATATTCACTTTGTGACAATTTTATCAAGCACTACATGTCTTTTAAATGTGCAAAATATCTGCCCAACCCGGAGACACCTGTGTTAGAATGCAGCGTTTGCACCCAAGCCTTACCTCAGCGTGGCCTCCGGGGATCAGAGTCTTTCCACAGCGCTCACAGCGCAGGCAGGGGCGGTGCCAGTCCTTGCCCAGTGAAGTCACCTTCTCAGCTAGAACAGACAAGAAGTGGCATGCGAATTTGCAAGTCAATCTGTCCTCATGGCAACTTATGCCACTTGCGCCTCACAGAAAACCATCAGGCAAAAGAATCCTCCAGAGATCAGACAAACCACATCCAAAGCAGTGCCGGAAGGGTTTGACACAAGAATCTCAATGCAACATTCTGGCCACAATTCAGCATCCTCAGAATCTCAGCTCCCCTTTTCCTTTAAAGCAAGTTTCCACCCAGTCTGGGTGAAATGAAAGGCTTGCACATTTAGGGCAAAATCCCCAAAGCTAGAAGGAGGTTCAGTTCCATGGACTGAGAGATGAGGCCACAGTGCTCTTCATAGCTTCTTGCCCCTCGCAGAAGCAGAATAGATACTGCATACAGCAATGCAAATCTTTATGATTTATATAGGGCACAGAATTCAACTTTTCTAGGTGCAGAATCTTTGTTACTTTGTTCCGTTCAGTCCTGTGTACAAGGGTCAGCAGGAATTCCATCCCCTTATGCACATCAATAGTCCCATTAGAAATTGCCCCACTTTTCTAACAGAGTGAGCATGCTACTTAAGTATAAATCTAGAAATTGTAGCCAGTCACTGGACCGATCAGTTCTCTGCCAAAAACTTCCAAGAACAGACCTGGTGGAACTTGCTCCATTTGGCCATTCTTTGCTCTGGCACAACTCTATAGGCCAAGGTAGAACTTAGTGTGTACCCTTACAGATTGGAGTCTTAGCAGACTGGAAAGACCCTTAAATCCTTTGTTTCTTTAGCCACCAGCACACACAAACCCACTCCCTACTATGAAATCAGAATATCAGGAACATAGCCCCCCAGAGTGCAGGGGATGAGTTAGACTCAGAGATTGAACTAGGGACCAACTTTGCAGAGAACTGCCTGTCAGAATCAAGAAAGGGCAGTTCAACCCCCCTTTTTGGAGAAGACTCTATTAGCTCTTAAGGAGAGGAAGAGTTGGAAAGCAGTCAAAGCGTTGCTAGGCAATCAGCAGATAAGCAGAGGTCTGAGTCTGGGTTGAGTGAGAGTGAGCAGGAGGGGGGAGGTCAGCCTCTCAGTCCTCAATCCAGGCGTTTGGATAAAATCAGAAGGCAACGGAAGAGCAAGAGGGGAAAGGCAGGAGTCTGGCGTCCTTCCTGTTGTGGGAGGGGCGAGATTTCAGACTGACCAACAAACGTAAATGCGAACAGGCGAGAAGCTGGGCTCTGGATGTGTCTTTTTGTAAATATACCTACACAGAACTGCCAGAGAGTCAATTACTTCTTATCGGAGCTTGCTTGTCTGCTAGAGATGATATATTCCTTTTTTGAAAAATCAAATGTTATCTGCCATTCCAGGCCATGACCATTTCTGGCTTGGTGACGCTGGTTTCATCCAGCTGCAACATTTCACTGTATTTCCGAAGCCAAGGTGGGGCAGTTGCAGGACAGGCCAATACTCACCAAAGTAGACCTTCTTAGAGCAGCGTGGGCAGATGTTTGGCTCCCCAGTGAAGGTGGTAATGCTGGTAGCTGAAACACAAATGGGAAGGCATGAATTCTCCAAAATGCTCAGCTCCAACCTCAAGAACTGGATCTGACAGACCTTGATCCTCTTCAGCCAACCAGCTCTGAATGCAACATCCAAGGAGGAGCCATCATACTGGACAACGCCACACCTACTCTCCTGGAAGGACACAATCATCTTGTGGCACTGAGGTAGACATCCTCTCTTGTGGAGCTGTGTGAAGAGTCATTTTTGGCTGATGAGGTCAAAGGCCTTTGTCAGGTCTAGGAAGTCGATGCACAAGGGGTGTCTCTGCTCTCAGCACTTCTCCTATAGCTGACACAGTGAGAAATCTCCCCTGTGGCTCCAAGAAGCTGCCAGCATGTGACAGCGGCCGCACCCCAGGAAACGATATTTACTGCCCGGCTTAACCAGGTGAACGAACCAAATACAGGCTCTGGCAGACTAAGCGGACAAGAGTGGGTCCAATGGTAAAGAAGGCGGTTTCTGCCCGTGCTGTGGACAGAGGGGCAGATGGGGCTTGTCACCCTGGAAAGAGAGCCCATCCAGGAGATGGAAAACTCTGATACTAACCCTCTGCTGCATTGTGGGGTATCTTTGGGAGAAGAAAAGGCTAAGGAGTAAACCCTATATAAATCCAGAGTTGAGTCCTTAAGATGGTCAGATGGCACACTGTACGCCTCCTTCTGGCAACTCCTGCAGCCAAGCTGGTGCCAAATGTCTTGCTCTGCTTTCCTCTGGACCATGTCAGCCAGTGAGGCCGAGAGGGGGCAGCCCTCATCTGGGCAGCCCTGGACCTCCAGACACACTGCCCAGGCTTGTGCTGCAGGGAGGTCACTTTGGTGCTGCTAATGCAGCAAAAAGAACGTAGGAGGCAGCAGAAGCTCAACCTGATTGGCGTAAGGTTCAAGTGCTACAGGTTGCCTTCATTGTTGGGAGACAACATCATGTCTCACTGGTCAGTTTCTGCCCACCTTAAGCCAGGCAGCTTCCAGTCAAGACAGTTCTTACCTGCCGCTGTCTGCAGGTTTCAATGGGTGCTTGGAGCTCAGAGCATCACTTGACAAATGTACTGAACTACTGCACCAGGCAATAAAGAAACAAACCCTCTTGTACCTTGCAATTTGAAATGTCACTTTTCTCTTTCTCTCTCTACCATTAAAATACACAGATATTCACAATAAAAAACAGCACAGCACAGCACAGGACCCACCATTTCCTTCTAAACAGCCAGTTTCCAAAGCCTGTTGGAACAATACAGTCTTCACCAGTCAGCAGAAGAACAACAAAGTGGGAACCAGTCTATCTTCTTTAGGAAGCAAGTTCCAAGTCTGTGAGCAGCCACCACCAAAAAGGCCCTGTCCTGCCTCACCACCCAGTGTGCCTATGAGGGTGGGAGGGACCGAGACAAGGGCCTCCCCCAAAGATCTGAGAACCCAGGCAGGTTCTTATGAGGGAACATGGCTTTTCAGGTTACCTGGACCTAAAATGTATGGAAATTTTCTCCATTTCTGTAGAACTGCAACATACACACAGCACTGAGTATGCAAGGAGCAACAAAAATGGATAGCAAGCTAGTTTTCAGAAATCATGAAATGAGCCAACCACAGAGTCTCCCAATTGCTCAGCAGGGAATGGAAGAAGCAGAGGTGCCTAGGCTGTTGCCTGCCACAATCCCAACGCCCTCGCAGCACCCCTTCTCCTGCTTCCTGGGCCAGCTGCCTTTTCTGGGACCCAATGCTCACCTTTGCTGGGTCCCTTGGGTGCTGCGCTCACTTTCTTTTCTTCCACTTTGGATATGTGCTCAATAGGGCCTGGTGCCACTTGCCCTTCAGTTTGGGGCTTATCATAGATGTAGGATCCTGCCCCTCCAATGTTCACACCTGGAAAATGGAGCAGGAGAGGTCAGAAGGGCTTTCTGCCCCAAAAGAATTGCTTTCCCGTTCTCCACAGCCATGTCTATGTATTTGAGGGAAGCCATAAACACCTTCCCATCTAGACCATGTTCCTGGTTGCAGCAATGGGCAAAAAGGTTCCTCAGCCTAGCCCAGCCAGCTAAAACCAGCATCAGAACATACAGGGAGCCAGCAGCTTCATAACTGAGTCAGACTACTGGTCCCTATGGCTTAGCATACGGACCTGAAGACAGCTCTTCAGGATCATTCAGACAGGGGTCTTTCGCAGTCTTACATAGTGAGTTGAAGCTGCGTACAAAATTATGTGCTCTCCCAGTGAGCGCCAGCCCTTACTCTGTCCCCAGTGCTTTCAAAGTTTTGGACCCAGCAGCAAATCCCTCTACTGGCACTGTCTGTGTTGGTGGGGTGTTTTCAACAGTAATCAAGATATTGTTGAGAGCCTGTGCTACTAAGGATCTGAACATCCGACCTAAAGGCCTCCCTTGTTCCCTTATCTTAGAAAGCCAGAGTTTAGTAATGCAGATACTGTCACTATCCAGTAACATGTTAGGGGATTTCATCATAAGAGCTCAATTCCTAAACCCAAGGAAGTCCCCTAACAGCAAATGTTAACATGCATTTCATGCTTTCATTATTTCCTATTGGTTTATTTTGTAGTTTGTATAAGTTAATCTGTTTTTAAGGGGAGAAGGTCAGAGCTGCCTTGGGAGTGGGCCCTAGTCAACAGAATGGCTGGAGCTGGTTCCACTACGGGGGTTGCACTGGGACACCTGATCCCAGTGATCCCAGGCACGGGGAGGAGTTGCCTGAGGGCCAGACCACGTCGTTATTAAGGAGGCTGGTTTAGTCATTGTCTTAAGAGCATCCCTGCCTCTGGGATAATAATCAAAAGCATGCAGTATTTTTCACTTCTTATTTCATTCATGAGGCAGAAACACTGGGGGTGGGGGAATAGGACTTGGGTAGTTGTAGCAGGGAAAGAGTGGAACATCCACCTCAGCACTTCTCTGTTCCACAAGTTTACATGTAATGTTTTGCTCTGCTCAATGTTGCTCCTATTTAAAATAGGGCACACCTCAAACCACAAGGTGTGCCACACCAGAGATATGTGAAGACAGACATTATATAAACTCAAAAGTGATGTCTCTAGTTGGCTTTGGTGATGAGAAGGTAAGAGAGAGAGAGAGAGAGAGAGAGAGAGAGAGAGATCAGCATTTGTGTCTGGAGTTGAAACGGTCAAACCACCCGGAAAGAGAAACCTACCTTTTGGTCCAAATAATGTTGCGTAACAGGGTTTGTGACAATACGGCTTTCCATCGTGCTAAGACAGAAATGGCAACTGTTAGATTAGCCAGTGTTAAGAAAAGATTATTAGTTTTAAGCAATTGTTCACTGAAGGCTGATAAATCACTAAATCATAAAGGGAGGGCATTGACTATTTCATGTGAACTTGAGTCTATAAAGAATCTGGAGATGCCAAAAGGTTTTGTTATTTTATTTGAGATTCTAAATTTGCCATCCACTCACAAAGTGCTTGTTGTAAAATTTAAAAACAATACATCAATATTTTTAACAGATACTGAGAACATAAAATACGCACACAGTTTTCAGGGATATTTAGAAAATCACAAAGTTAGAGCAAAGGCATGGCAAAAAGAACAAAAAACACACACATATAGACAGTAGTGATGAGAACAAGGAGTTCTAACTCCTGTGGACTTCAAAAGAGAAAGGCCGTTCCAGTTCCCAGAAGAGTTGCTGGTACTAGCCAAACATGAAGGTTAAGGGGTGATATGATAGCCATGTTCAAATATATAAAAGGATGTCACATAGAGGAGGGAGAAAGGTTGTTTTCTGCTGCTCCAGAGAAGCGGACACGGAGCAATGGATCCAAACTACAAGAAAGAAGATTCCACCTAAACATTAGGAAGAACTTCCTGACAGTAAGAGCTGTTCGACAGTGGAATTTGCTGCCAAGGAGTGTGGTGGAGTCTCCTTCTTTGGAGGTCTTTAAGCAGAGGCTTGACAACCATATGTCAGGAATGCTCTGATGGTGTTTCCTGCTTGGCAGGGGGTTGAACTCGATGGCCCTTGTGGTCTCTTCCAACTCTATGATTCTATGATTCTATGAAGGAGAAGGGCACATGGGGGCTCAAAAAGCATCTCACCTCAAATGAGAAGCAAGTGAGACATATTAGAGATGAAAAAAGATATGAATGAGAACACCAAAATAATAGATGACAAACTTGAAAGGATGGGAAATAAAATCGACCAAAATGCCAAATTAATTGAGTTGACTCTGAGATTGAGAGGTATCCCCTAAGAGACTGAAGAGATTATAGATGAGCAAATTAATAAGGAGCTAGCCAAGTGGTTAGAGCTACAAGAAGGCAAAATACTTAAGGGAACTGAAAAAATATTCAGAGTAAAATCTAGTGTGGCAAAGCCAACAAGCGGCTGGGAGACTGTTTGGTATCCTTCAGTTCGAGTCAAATTATTGATCCAAAAATATGGAAGCCCAGGAAAAAAGTGAAATACACGAATTCTGTGACCCGGAAATTAGCAAAAAGGTTAAATATCTGGGCATATGGCTCACAGTGAAGAACACCAATTTTATTTCAGGCTAATTATGCCAGCACCTGGAAGGAGATAAAAAACAATACTGGAAATCTGGAATAGGCTAAATATCTCCTTTTGGGGAAGAATTTCCATGATAAAAATGAGTGTGCTTCCAAAAATGATCTTTTTGTTTCAACTCATCCCGGTTATAGGAACAGCGAGCTGCTTCAAAGATTGCCAGAAGGATATATTAAGATTTATTATTCCCTGACCTGGCCACAGTGATCCATGCAACCGTCACCTCCAGGCTTGACTACTATAATTCACTCTACACGGGGCTGCCCTTGAAGCTGACCCAGAAACTCCAGCGGGTGCAGAATGCTGCAGCGAGGCTCCTCACGGGGTCTCTGCCATGGGAGCATATTCACCCAGTGCTTTTCAAGCTGCACTGGCTCCCGGTGGAGTACAGGGTCAGATTTAAGGTGCTGCTTTTGACCTTTAAAGCCCTTCACGGCCTTGGACCCTCGTACCTATGGGATCGCCTCTCCTGGTATGCCCCACAGAGGACCTCAAGGTCCATAAATAGCAACACCCTAGTGGTCCCGGGCCCTAAGGAAGTTAGATTAGCCTAACCAGAGCCAGGGCCTTTTCAACACTGGCTCCGGCCTGGTGGAACACTCTGCCTTATGAGACCAGGGCCCTGCAGGATCTGATTTCTTTCCGCAGGGCCTGTAAGGCAGAGTTGTTCTGCCTGGCCTTTGGCTTGGAGCCAATTTGATTCCCTCCCCCTCTTTCTTTTTCCTTTTTCCTTTTCTCCTCCTGTGATGAGGCTGCATTTTAATATTTTAATGTTTCAGTATTTTAATCTTGTATTTTAATCTTGTTTTTAAGTTGTATTCATTCAACTTGTTTTTATTATTGCTTGTTAGCTGCCCTGAGCCCAGCCTGGGGAGGGCGGGGTATAAATAAAAATTATTATTATTATTATTATTATTGGAATGGCAGAAAACCTAGTATAAAGCACAAATTATTAATCGATATAAAAGAAAGGGGAGGGTTTGCAGTACCGGATCTGAAACTGTCTCATGAAGCAGCTTGCCTTTCCAGGATACAGGAGTGGATGACATTAAAAAAGACTGGACCTAGAAGGGTTTGATAATAGATATGGCTGGCATGCTTATCTAGGTTATGAGAAGGCCAAAGTGCATAAAGGTTTCTCAAACCATGTGATTAGGAAATCATTATACAGTGGTACCTTGGGTTACAAATGCTTAGGGTTACGAACTTCGCTAACGTGGCTTAGTCCTGCTGGCCACGTGACCCGGAAGCTGTACGCCGGCTCCCTCGGCCAATAAAGCGAGATGAGCGCCGCAACCCCAGAGTCGGTCACGAATGGACCTAATGGTCAGGGGTCCCTTTACCTTTATTCTCCAAAATGTATAGGCTCCTCCTTGACTGGGAGGACAAGGAGGAAGAAGTAAAATCCGTAATGGTGCAGTGGGCTAGGGACTTTGGCTATAATATCCAAATGGAATCATGGGAGAGGCTTGGGTGGGAAAATTTAAAATTCACTGCATGTTATGATTTAAAAGGAAAATTGCATGAAAACGCTCTACAGGTGGTATTTAACACCTGTCAAACTGGCCAGAATGTTTAAATCTAGGCCAAACACCTGTTGGAAATGCAGGGAGGCAGAAGGCACAATAATCCACATGTGGGGAAACTGTAAAAGAGTTAGAGCAGGCATCACCAAACTTTTTCCTCAGGGGGCCAGTCTACCGTCCCTGAGATCTTGTGGGGAGCCAGACTATATTTTGAAAAATATAAATACCCTGCAAGCCGGTCCCACAGCTGCCTCCAGACCTGGAGGAGGAACGCACTCTGCATGCGCTCAGGAGCGCGTCTCGGCGCTGCCCACTCACCGGCGTTCTTGACAAGCCCGTACGCCCGGAGCTCCCAGGCGGCGTGCACCATGTGCTGCAGCCCGTCGTCTGAGGCCAGGTTGGCGGGCAGGCCGCGCACAGCTCACCCTCAAGCTGCTCCAGCGCGGCCACTGAGTGAGCCACCAGCAGCAGCGCCGAGCCGTGATGCGCCCGTCACAATGCCAGTTTTACCTCAGCGTGCGGGCGGCGAGGCTTCGGAATGGCTGCAGGAGCTTTCTGCAGCCAATCCAAAGCCGTGCCAGCATTGCAGAAGTCAGTCCTCGCGCACGGCAAGGTGTTCGTGGCTTCTTTTCAATGAAACGCCACACCGGTTTAGCTCAGCCTGGGGACCAACTGAGCGGGCGGCAGGGTCCATGGGCCGGATTTACCAGCCTGGTGGGCCGCATCCAGCCCCCGGGCCACAGTTTGCCGACCCCTGAATTAGAGAATTTTGGGAGATAATTTACAACAAACATAAAAAAAATGTTCTTTCCCCAAGATGCCTGAAGCCTTCCTGCTAGGAACAATGAACAACTAAATTCCAAACAAATTTAGGATAATTTTCATGTATGCTACAGTAGCAGCTAGAATTTTAATTGCAAAGGGTTGGAAAGGAGATGCTATCCCATCCAAGCTATACTGGCAAAACAAAATGCAAGAATATGCAGAACTAGCCAGACTATCAGCAAGGTTTTGAGATGTCACTGATCAAAAATTTAATAGAGAGTGGGATGTGTACAGTTTATTTAAAAGAACATTGCAAAAACATAAATCCGTTGGCAGGTCTGGATTGACTTTCTGCGTGTAACAAGAGAACTTTATAAAAGCAATGTTATCAAAATAACCTAGAAGAGATAAAGCTTAGTGTGTAGTAAAAATAACGTAATTTGGGAACCACAATGCAGGGACCAGAGGTCATGTGGAAACCAACTACAAACTTACCTACAACAAGCGCTAATTATGGAATGAATGTTTGTTTATTTTTTTCTTTCTGTTGATTACCGGTACTTTGTGTTGTGTAGTTTTTTTTAAAAAACCAATAAAGCATTTTTAAAAAAATCAAATCAAAATATCAAATATCAAATGCAAGCTTTTGAAGTCAACTGAATTATCCAGCTCACATCAAAATCTAAGCTGGCAAAAAATCTGATTGACTTGCCTAAGATCCAGGACAAAGCGCCGCCTTTCATATGGCAGGCCTACCAAAGCCGTCTGCACCAGCTGCCAAATATCCTTCCTTTTACTCATCTGGCAAGCAGCAGTAGCAGCAGCTTGCAGCGAGAAGAAAGAGGCTTGTTCTCTCCCTGCCTCCTCATCGCCCTGGGGCACCAGAATAACCTTTCAGCAAACCAGCACCTTTCCTGTTCCTCTCTTTTTTAAACTGTGTTTATTAAGTTTTATAAACAGATGAACAAAGCAAATAATTCAGCAATAACAGATTATGCTGTAAAGCAGCAATTTTTTGACATGGGCCTTTTCAGATGTTACATGTGTGTTTTCATATGCTTATAACAAATGGAAGATGAGAATTTGTCAATCATCCACAATTTTTAGTGACAGGAGTATCATATTTCCACATAGAAGGAACATGTCTATACTTGTTTATATTGAGGTTTTGAGATGCATATGTATGAGGATGTATTCAGGTATTGCATGTTTAGTTGTTCATTAGGTTTCATTCAGTGCTCTAGTACCTACGTAAATGTGCCGTGTTGCTCTAGCATGAACATCACAGGCATAGCAAACAATATTGGCAGTATCTGCACTTAACTGTCAACAGGAGTCAATTTGTGAGAGGAAATGGTGATAAGGCATGAACATATTTCTCCCTTAATGCGAGGAATGCACTGCTTGTACTTCCATAGAAGGAAAAGCAAATACAGCTTGAGAAAACATCCTTCCAGTAGCAACAGCAGGCTTGTCATCAGTTAGCAGACAAGAGAGAAGCTCACCCACCACGTGAAGCACGGAAAGAAAATTGCTGGGTGTGACTCCTCCAAGTGTGGGACGTGGTGCAGTCAGGAAGAAAACTTCCCAGCTCCCTGGAAGCACTCCAGTGTGCTGGCTAAGACACACCTTCAGAGAGAAAGTGCTTCTCGGGTGAGTCACTTTTCTCAGATTTCACATAATGGGGAACCTCATGCCTTGAAAGCAGATGATTCCTACCTACAGCTCTCTATGTGGGCACACTTGATACAGTACCCAGATACACTTTCCTTCTGCTACAACATTAATTGGGGAATAAATGGTGTTTGCTTGAGCTGACGGAGGCAAAGTGCCCCTAGGCCAGGAGCAGAAGAGCTGAAGCAATAATAATTTCTGGTTCCCAAGTGGGAAGGAAGAGTAGAAGTCACCTTCCAACAATTTACAATGACTCGAAGTCTAGGCTTAGGAGCATATGCCAAGCACTTTGGAGCAGCAGCAGCAGCCTCGAGGGAGGGAGCTGGCTGGGCAGCGCCTGGGCCCCCACGCAATGGGGGAGGCCCAAGGACTGTACAACATCCTGCTTCCCTCCTCTATAGTCAGCCACTCTCAGGGTTTTTTGTCTTTACACTGCCCAGTAAAGCTAAACATGGCAAACCATGCTTGTGGGATGAGGCTTATTGCACTCCGTGCCTGTTCTGCTCTGTGCCCACCCACAGTGCGGCCTACTTCTCAATTGCACCCAGCCTGCAGAAGGTGCCACTGGAGGCCAATGCATTTGTTTTGCCTTGCACTTTAATGGAATGCTAGGTGATTTAAATGCTCTACTCTGTGGCTGCTCTAACATTTTGTTATTGCTGCTGCTGCTTTGTTGTTTATTAAGGTGTTGTAATGATTTTGATGATTTTATTGTTTATACTGGAATTGTGAACTGCCCTTGTATCCCCATGTATGGATACAGTGTTCAAGGTAGAAATATTTTTATAATTAATCAAGATATTGTCTAAGGTATGATTTAACCTCCTTATTTAGTTTTTAGAAGGAACAACAAGAGGAACCACCCTCCAGATTCAAATGGAGTATTTACACGTACAGACAGAAAGGGGGAAAGATAGGCATAAATCATTTCATAAACGTATCTGAAATGGCACAGAAACTTAGAAAAAAAATATAAAAATGAAAAGCTTTTGCTTTCAGGCAACACAGAATTAGGTAGAATCATTTCTTTCCTTTCTAATTTGTCGTTCCTGTTTCTTGTCTGCCACTGAAAAGATACATCTGATGAACTATCCTTGTGCAAAGTGAAATTGGAAGCCCATCTTAACATGCAACAAATCCCACACAACCCTGTGAACTGGAAAGCGCCTACTGCGCTGGAGCCTCACAGACTGGGAGGTGCTGCCCCAATTGTTCCTCTGGGTAATTGTGACTGTGAAGAGCTGGAACACCTTATCCTGCATGACACTACAATTGCCCCAAACATCTTGAGGGTAAACACTTTGTTGGCAGAATTCAGAAGAGAGGCTATTGGCTAAAATATGTCCACCCAGTTAACAGATCAAAGGCAAGCGCTCCCAGAAACTACCCCAATGCAGCAGGCCATGTCCAGTGGGACTCTTACCTCAGCATGCCCACCAGGAGTCAGGGTCTTGTTGCAGCGCTCACATTTCAAACAGAACTTGTGCCAGTCCTTTCCCAACGAAGTTACTTTCTCAGCTGCACAGCAGAGAAACAAGAAAACATGTAATCAAAATATGAACTTTCAGATACCTACAAACTGGCTCCCCATGCCAAACACCACGCCCAGCGCTTTTTTTCTGGCAGAACGCTCCAGAACGCAGTTCAGAGACCTTTTTCTTTCCCTAAATCAGAGCCCTGTGCCTTCTTCCCAAAGCCCAGGAAGCTTCTGCCTGGCTTAGGGAGGGAGGCGAAATGCTCTGGCAGGGTCCAAGAGCCTTCCCACTTCCTTCCCCAAGCCAGGCAAGCACTTCCCACCTCAGAGGAGGCAGGAGGCCTGCAGGATCCTGTCAGAAGCCTTGCATCTGCTTCTCAAAGCCTGAGAAGCAAAATGCAGAGCAAGGCAAGGCAAATTCATGTGCAGAAGAGGCAGGGAGGGCAATTTGGATACTGCCAGGAGGGGTGAACCCTTTGCCCTCTTTTCCTGTCCCAGATTCCGTTCATCTTGAAAAGGCATGAGATGCTCCCCCCAGACTGGGATGCAACTCAGCTTGCACTGGAGGCTGATGTGTCTGCCTAGGACAGAGCAGATCGAAAGAGGAACTGCCAAGTTTCCTAGACTGACCTTTCTGACCTAACCTGGGCTGACCTTCCCTCCAGTCTAGACTGATACTCTTAGGGATAAGGGCCTCATTTCCTTCTTTCTTCTTCAACCTCACTTTGAGAGAGGAGACATCTTTTGTGTTTCTCCTGCTGAGATGCAAGAGCAAACATGGAGAACAAGAGAGAGAAAAGGAGGACCATTTCTCTCTGTGGACTTTTTGCACCTCTTGTAAGAGCCAAGCATGTGGGAGAGAAGTCACACCTTTCTTTCCAGAGCTCTCCATGGGGACAACCACAAGGAATGGGTAGCTAGAAAAGTGTTGTAATGCCCTTCAATCCTACACTGCTTCCAGGACCCAGTTGCTAGATGCTGTCCCAGTGGACAGTCCTCTACCTAGGCAGTTGAAAAATAGACAGAATTACAGTGGTACCTCGGGTTACAAACACCTCGGGTTACAAACACTTTGGGTTACAGACTCCACTAACCTGGAAGTAGTACCTCGGGTTAAGAACGTTGACCCAGGATGAGAACAGAAATTGCGCGGCGGTGGTGCAGTGGCAGCAGGAGGCTCCATTAGGCAAAGTGGTACCTCAGGTTAAGAACAGTTTCAGGTTAAGAACGGACCCCCGGAACAAATTAAGTTTGTAACCAGAGGTACCACTGTACCAGTTGAAGAACCCTCTATCCTCTATTCCTCTTGCTGCTGCTGCAATAGCGTCTCAGAAAAAATAATATGAACCCCCTTTCTTCCTTTCTCTCTTGGGGACTGAAGCACCTTAACCTCATTCACTGTTAAACCAGTATCTGACTTGCAGAGGTTTAATTCAAGTTTGTGTTCAAGTCAGTTAAGATATTGGGGTGAATCCTAGATCACTGAAAAGAATCTCTCTGTTTTCAAGTTCAACCCCTTCCTTTTTGGAAATTCTTAAATTGCTTTTGCTTGCAATGCTTGTTGGAATAACTGGACATGAGAAGGGGTTGCTTTCCTTCATAAGTGTAAATCACCCCATGGATGTGAAAGATTAGCCATTCCAGTTGCTTTGCTAACAGCCCAGTGCCCCAACTATATCTGTGATTAATGTATGTCAGTTCAGTAATGTTTGTTAGTCTATGAGTCATCCGTCTGTTGGTGTTAGTTGTCAAGCATTGCTGGAGTTTATCTGGAGCAATGGAGATACTTTGTAATTGTATGTATCGATATATACATATCTGTATATATATGTGTATATATATATATATCTATCTGTATCTGCAAAAGCCTACAAGTTGTATATATCCACGTCCAGAACAGTTTTACTAAGCCTTATCTTCTGCAACAGTAAAAACTATTTGGACCTTAAGCTGCTTCCATGTGGTTACTGGAACTGGGAGCAACTTTTTAAATATTTATATTTTATTAGGGTGATTTCAATCAAAAGAAATATAGTGATACAGAAAAAAGGAAGAGTGAGAGGGACAAAAACAACAACAAAGATACATATAAAAGTGGGAATTTGGAGGGGGGAAGCAATATACAATATTCCCATACATTCTTATATAAATTGGCATAGTGTTATTGTCCTAGTGCTTATGTAAATATTAATAGCCTACTGCATTTTGTATAAACTCATTCCAAATGTTATCGTATTTATCCATATTTATTTATGCACCTGTCAGCAGTCTGTTCATAAATTGTCAGTGATGTCATATCGTCAGTCCATTGATTGAATGGTATCAAAGCTTCATTTTTCCAATTCCTCAATCTCTTGGCCACCTTTCGGGCACAGAAAATCCATTTCCATTCTCCCTTTGAAAATTTCCATACAGCAGGTATATAGTTCAATAAAATATTATCCACTGAAAGATTTAACTTTTTCTGCATAGTCATAGTTACACAGTCCAGCATTTTCTCCTAGAACTTGTTAAGTAAAGAGCACTGTACAAACATGTGTTTCAGAGAGGCATTGTCCTTGCCACATCTCCAACACTTAGCTATCTTAGCTACCCCTTTTTTATACAACTGTAAAGGAGTCCAAAAAACTCTAAATATTATTTTCTGATGTATTAGTCTTAATTTTAAATCTAATGACACCTTGGGTATTGAAGCTAAAACATTTTAAAACATTTTCCCACTGTGAGTAATATTGAAAATTCCAATTCTTTATTCCAATCATCTCTTGCAGTCTGCATATTGAATTTGTGTATTGTTAATAGATATCTATAAAAAGTAATTGCTGGCTTTTTATTTTTGAATAGTTGTCCAATTGCTCCAATATTTCAGGTGTCTCAGAAGCTGAAAGGGGTGATGGCTCAAACACACTTGTTAGGAGATGTTGTACTTGAAGATATTGTCATTGAGCTGCATCTGATAGGTGATATTTTTGTCTTAAAACAGCAAAAGCATAAAATTAATCTTCCTCACAGGGTAAGTTTCCCCACAGGGTAAGTTTAGCATGTAAAAATGGAACTAATTTGTTTTTATTAGCCAATGTATTCCATATTCTTCTGTGATTTAATTGTTTCCAGAGTCCCCTGACATTTCAGATATTTTAATCCTAGTATTGTCCAACCAACCAAAGGTGCTACGTACATATATTCTAGCGTTGCCCACATTGGAAAATTATGGCCAACAGTGGAATTCCAATATTTAGTACTTGACAGTAGGTAAACATAATTATGTAATTCCAAATTTGGGATTTCGAAACCGCCTTCTTTAATTTGTAGCTGCATTCTCTGCAAGGATATTCTTGGTGCTGCTGAGCCCCAAAGGCATTTCAATGAACAATGAGTTTATCTTTTGAAAATATGATCCAGATATAAAAACTGGAAGTCTTATCAAGATATAAATGTATCTGGGAATAATATTCATTTTGAGAGCATTTGCCCAAAGGGTAAGGTTCAATGACTCCCACCTATCGATATCGGAAGAAGCCTCTTTTATTAATTTATTCATATGAACTGTAACTAACTGTGTTTCATCTCTTGACATTAACATACCTAAATATTTAATAGATTTGGAACAAACCTGAAATTGTTATTCCTTGAATGAGTGTGCAAACTGGGAGCAACTTCACTGTAAGTGTATCTCACCTGAGATTCCCAACATGGTTTGCTGTCATGGCATTTGTAAACACAGAATAGTTGCTTCATCACAAAAGCAAAGTGACTCTGAAAGCTCAAGAGGTTCAGACACCATGTAACCCTAGCTCAGAACCTCAGGCAAATTACTTTGGTGTTGGTATCCTGACAGGGAGAAGAAAAAAAACACCCTGATAGCACATTCAGCACCATCCTCTTGCTGACACTCAACAGCAATAGCCACTGGCATCTCCCATATCAGCAGCAGAGAACGTGTACAGCCAGTGTACCCCAAGCACCAACCGGGCAGGGGGAGAGAACGCAACAAAGCAGCAGCTGCCATCTCAGTTACTCTTAGAACTGAAGTCCTCCCTGACATTGTGTGGATCAGGTATCTGCCTTTTAATATTTTAGGCTATTTTCGAATTAGAGCATACATGCTTAGGCTTTCCAGCTTGACTGCAACATTATCAGCTGCCAGGGAGCGCACTAAAACTCTCTCTTGTGCATAGGATAACAGGCGAAATGGAGCCTTCCTTCCTGGCCCATTTGCCTCACATCAAACACCAGAGGCAGAACCTCAAGCAAAGGAGAAGACGCATGCGGCCTTTGCTCTCACATACCAAAAGCTGTGGCCAACGTGGCAGAGTCCGGTCTCCAGGGTGACTACACATTTTGGTGGCTAAGAAATCCACATGCTCTGGAAAAATAGGGACAAGCCATTTTGAGCCTTGGAATAAAAACACCAAATTTCAACCCCATGGCACAATTGCCATGGGGTTAGCTAGCCACTGCACTAATAGGCAGGTCTGGGGAGCAGGAGCAGAAGAAACAGTGCTAAGGCCCACTATTCAACTCCTCTCAAAAGCTGAGACATCAAATGCTTTTCTGGCTGTAAACTAGAAGAAGAAGAAGAAGAAGAAGAAGAAGAAGAAGAAGAAGAAGAAGAGTTTGGATTTGATATATCGCTTTATCTCTAGCCTAAGGAGTTTCAAAGCGGCTAACATTCTCCTTTCCCTTCCTCCCCCACAACAAACACTCTGTGAGTTGAGTGGGGCTGAGAGACTTCAGAGAAGTGTGACTGGCCCAAGGTCACCCAGCAGCTGCATGTGGAGGAGCGGAGACGCGAACCCGGTTCCCCAGATTACAAGTCCACCGCTCTTAACTACTACACCACACTGGCGCTCTAGACCTGCAGGTCCCAGAAGAGTGACTAGTGGGGTGCCACAGGGTTCTGTCTTGGGCCCGGTCTTATTCAACATCTTTATCAACGACTTGGATGATGGACTCAAAGGCATCCTGATCAAATTTGCAGATGACACCAAAATGGGAGGGGTGGCTAACACCCCAGAGGACAGGATCACACTTCAAAACGACCTTGACAGATTAGAGAACTGGGCCAAAACAAACAAGATGAATTTTAACAGGGAGAAATGTAAAGTATTGTACTTGGGCAAAAAAAATGAGAGGCACAAATACAAGATGGGTGACACCTGGCTTGAAAGCAGTACATGTGAAAAGGATCTAGGAGTCTTGGTTGACCACAAACTTGACATGAGCCAACAGTGTGACGCGGCAGCTAAAAAAGCCAATGCAATTCTGAGCCTCATCAATAGGAGTATAGCATCTAGATCAAGGGAAGTAATAGTGCCACTGTATTCTGCTCTGGTCAGACCTCACCTGGAGTGCTGTGTCCAGTTCTGGGCACCACAGTTCAAGAAGGACACTGACAAACTGGAACGTGTCCAGAGGAGGGCAACCAAAATGGTCAAAGGCCTGGAAACGATGCCTTATGAGGAACGGCTAAGGGAGCTGGGCATGTTTAGCCTGGAGAAGAGGAGGTTAAGGGGTGATATGATAGCCATGTTCAAATATATAAAAGGATGTCACATAGCGGAGGGAGAAAGGTTGTTTTCTGCTGCTCCAGAGAAGCGGACACGGAGCAATGGATCCAAAGTACAAGAAAGAAGATTCCACCTAAACATTAGGAAGAACTTCCTGACAGTAAGAGCTGTTCAACAGTGGAATTTGCTGCCAAGGAGTGTGGTGGAGTCTCCTTCTTTGGAGGTCTTTAAGCAGAGGCTTGACAACCATATGTCAGGAGTGCTCTGATGGTGTTTCCTGCTTGGCAGGGGGTTGGACTCGATGGCCCTTGTGGTCTCTTCCAACTCTATGATTCTATGATTTCCTTCATATCCTGCCTAGTCTCTCTGTAATTCCTTGACAGTTCAACTTGTCCTCAATAGTATGACAGTGAAAGCACTGAAGAAGAAGAGGAAATGAATCAGACTTACAGCTCTTCCTCCTCAGAAAGGCATGGTGCCCATGGGGGCCATCCAAAGTCAACTGCCTCACTCAAAGCAAAGACCCCACCCTCCGCAGGAATCCAAACAGAGGCAGATTTTCTACTAACAAAATTTCAGATGCTTCCTGGTCTACTTCCAGCTTCTTACCCAAGGAATCCAATTCCTTTGGGAAGTCACTTCCCCAAGAAGTACCGTAGTTATCACCACTAGCTTAGATGTTCTTAAAGGAAGAGTTCCTAGAGTAGAGGCCTACCAATGGCTAGTCACTATTGCAGACAAACACAACCTTTATGTCCATAGGCATTGTACTTCTCAATGCAAATATGCTGATATGTACATATTACTTTCACACTCTGTGGGCAGTTGGTTGTAAATGGACCCATGGAAGTGGCAGGGAGGGAGGGAGGGAGGCAGCTGCAGTCTCACAAATTATCCGCTATGTTATGTTCTCTCACAAATCTCACAAGATCCACAAATCATTATTGCATTATGGTCTTTAGAACTCTCAGCAGTTTTTAATACTTTAGGGTGGCAAATTCTGGCAAACTGCTTGTGGAATCTTGAAAGAAACAGAGTTTTAAAAGTTAAGTTGCCCCCACAGACCATGTTGGCCAAGTTTCTGTGCTACTTTGGAAATGTCCTGAAAGTATCAGTGCTATCACTTCTGGGATGCCAAATGAAGCTGCTGGATGAAACTGTCCAGAGGTTGGACATACCAGTGTGATAAAACCAACCTCTATTTTTATTTTGCTTTCAAACCAGCCGTTGACACTGTGGCCAAGTGAGTGAGGATAAGCCGCTTGTGACATAGTCCAGACAAGTTGATTAGGATGGCAGGGTTGATGGCTGTCTGCCACTTACGGTTTCCTCTCTCCCCACCCAGCACCCACGGGAAGGTGTTTGCTGTTTAGAAAGACTGCAGGACCCAGGGTTCTTCTAAGTTATAATTACATATTTACAGGAGAATATGCTTGCTGCTGCACGCATATACATCGTGCCATAGTAGTGCTGCAGGAGTTGCCACAGTCACACATCATCACCACTGCTTCATTAGTCATGGCTGCTATTTTTTTTTTTATAAAATATTTATTAAAGTTTAAACATTGCAAAAAAGAAAAGAAAAACAAAAGAGAAATATAAACAATAAACAGTTACAAAGCCTCAAAAACAAAATCAAATACAGCAGTACAAAACATCAACAATAAAAAAAGAAAAGAAAACAAAAGCATTAAAAAAAAACCCAAAAGAGAACAAACAAACATACAAAAGAACCCCATATTTTCATATCCTTATCTTTCATTAGCTTATTTCCTCGACTTCCTCACACCTCCTTTTTTGTATTCTAGTTCAATTAAATATTCTAGCAAGTCCTTTCCATCTTTCACAAATTTAGTTCCATAATTTAACTTAACTTAATGGCTGCTATTAACCCTCCATTTCATGGGACACAAATCACATGCTTAGAATTCAGGGAAGACAGTGGCTTTGCCCTTGTTCTGGGTTTTGCAGAAGCAGCACCTCACAACAAAGCCCAACTGGGAAGTGCAAAAAACTACATGTCCCTCTGGGAGGTGGGAAGGACAAAGGATTTCTCTCTTGGAAAGGCAGCAGCAGTGCCTCATGCTGCTCCCTCCTGCAAACAACCTTCCCTCCCTGCCACATGCTACCCATAGAGAAAATAAGGGGCCACTGCTTCTCAGGCTCTTCAGGATTTCATAGAAGGCAGGTGTTATGTACTGAAGTTCTCACCCAGCAGCCCGCGTCTTGCTAGGAAGCCAGTTCCAGTGCATCATGAAGAGGCCAGCAGTGATGAGGCATCCTCCAGTGAAGACGATGACATGCACCAGACAAAGTGGGAGTGCATGAAGTTCCAAAAGAAGTCCAAGGGCCAATCAGAATGTGCCGGCTGCGGAGGCAACCATTCCCGTGCCAAGTGTCGATTCAGAGACGCCATCTGTCGGAAGTGTTCCAGAAGGGGCCACATCGCTAAGGTCTGTCGATCGGCTCCGTCTGACACCCCCCCTTCACCGACTCGCAAGTCTAAGTCTTCACTCCAGTCCGCCAAGGAAAGCTGTTTCGCTCTCACCAACTGCCGCTACCCGTCTGGAACCACGATTGGCCAAACCGACTCGCCTACGCGACGCAAGCTGAATGTCACGGTGCTCATTGAAGGAGCTCCATGTGACATGGAGATCGACACCGGGTCTGCCCTGTCCATTGTGTCTTGGAGCACCATCAAAAGACTGGTACCCAGAGTGTCCAAAAGGCAACTCGACTCTCACCGCATACACCTGAGAGACTACCAGGGAAACGACATTCCCGTGGTAGGCGTTGGCCAATTCCGGATCGCCTTCAAGGATTTTTCAGGCCTGCTCCGACTGGTAGTGGCCGAAGGTCAGCGGCCAAGCCTCCTAGGACTAGACTGGTTTGATGCCCTCGGCCTGGAAGTCACCGGCATCAACTGCATCTCTAACGCAGAGACTGAGGCTCTGGTCAAAGACTTTGCCGAGGTTTTTGACGGCACTTTGGGGCAATATACAGGTAGGCCCATCTCCTTTAGCCTTGATCCACAAGTCGCCCCCATCAAGCTAAAGCCACTCCAGGTTCCCTTTGCTCTCAAGGCTAAGGTGGACGAACAACTGGACAAGCTGATCGCCCAAGGAGTTTTGGAGCCGGTTGACCACGCCAAGTGGGAAACCCCCATCGTCACACCTGTCAAGCCAGACGGGTCGGTGAGAATCTACGCTGACTACAAGTGCACAATCAACAAGGCACTTCAGCAGCACGCTTATCTGGTTCCTGTTGTCCAACATCTGCTACATTCCCTGGGTGAGGGTAAGATCTTCGCTAAGCTGGACCTTGCCCAAGCCTATCAACAACTGCCCGTCGATGATGCCACTGCTGAAGCCCAGACGATCGTCACCTACCGAGGGGCATTCCGTTGCCGCCGTTTGCAGTTCAGGGTGAGTGTGGCTCCTGGCATCTTCCAAAGGCTTATGGAGCGTCTCCTGCAAGGGCTTCCGGGCGTGGTGCCATATTTTGATGACGTCTTGGTGTCCGCAGACTCACACCAGCAGCTGTTCGAGTGCCTCCGTGCCGTGCTGACCAGGTTCCAGGAGGCCGGGCTCAAGGTAAAGAGGGAGAAGTGCCAGATCGCCATTCCACAGGTGGAGTTCCTGGGCTATCTTATCGACGCCTCCGGCCTTCACCCAACCACATCCAAGATCCGCGGTATCCAGCAGGCCCCCATCCCAAAGAACAAGACGGAGTTGCAGGCGTTCCTGGGACTGCTGAACTTTTATAACATGTTCCTGCCCCACAAAGCCACGGTGGCTGAGCCTCTTCACCGACTCCTCAGCACGAAGACACCTTGGTCCTGGGGTCATCGGGAGATGGCAGCCTTCAAGGCGGTCAAGGCTCTCCTTTCATCGGACAGTGTGCTGGTACAGTACAGTGAAGCCAGGCTGCTGGTCCTTGCCTGCAATGCCTCACCTTTTGGCATCGGCGCTGTCCTTAGCCACTGTTTTCCAGACGGAAAAGAAGCACCGCTCACCTACTCTTCCAGGACGCTATCTCTGACTGAACAGAATTACAGCCAGCTTGACAAGGAGGCACTGGCACTTGTGGCTGGAGTGAAGAGGTTGCATGAATACCTCTACGGCAGGACTTTTGACCTCATCACCGACCACAAGCCACTCCTGGGCCTAGTCGCCGGTGATCGTCCAACTCCACCGGTCCTCTCGCCACGCATGCCTACCACTACCGGCTCGTCCATCGCCTGGGGAAATTGATGGGCCATGCCAATGCCCTCAACCGTTGCCCTCTTCCAGCATTTGTGGAAGACCAGGATCCTGCTTCATCACTCCTCCTGATTGAGGATCTTCCTGCAGCGCCTGTATCGGCTGCCACTGTGGCCTCCGCATCTGCCCAGGACCGCACCATCAGCCGTGTGCTCAACTGGGTGTGGAGGGGGTGGCCACAAGGGCCTTTTGCATTGGAGTTCCAGCCCTTCGCAACCAGACAACATGAACTCTCGGCTCATCGCAGCTGTCTGCTGTGGGGAGACCGCGTCGTGATTCCCCAAAGACTCCGTCAACGCGTCCTTGAGGCTCTGCACGTTGGCCACCTAAGAATCGTCAAAATGAAGGCGTTGGCTCGGTGTTATGTCTAGTGGCCTAACATGGACAATGCCATCACTGCCTGGGTTTCCACCTGTCAAGCGTGCCAAGAATCGAGGCCTGCGCCACCGGCAGCTAAGGGACACACCTGGGAGACGCCCAAGACACCCTGGTTGAGGGTGCACATCGATCTGGCCGGCCCCTTTCACGGCCGGACCTTTATGGTGGTGGTGGACGCCTATTCCAAATGGCTGGAGGTGGCCCTGATGCCCTTCCCCACTACCGAGGCGGTCATCCGGGTGCTGCGAGGCCTGTTTGCAAAGCATGGGTGTCCTGATGTCCTTGTCTCCGACAACGGACCACAGTTCACGTCAGGCACTTTTGAGCGGTACCTTTTGGGACCGGGCATCCGCCATGCCCTAACGGCACCATTTCATCCATCCAGCAACGGGCAAGCAGAGAGAATGGTACGCTCGACAAAAGAGGCACTGGCGCGTCTGGACTGGGGAGACTGGCACGAGCGGGTCACCGAATACTTGTTCGTACAACACATCACCCCTCATGCGGCCACAGGGCAGAGTCCTGCCAAACTGCTTATGGGCTTCCGCCTAGGGTCCCCGCTCAACCGGCTGCACCCAGACTTTGCCGTGGCCGAACCCCCAGGCTGTGCCAACGCATCACGGTCATTTGTTCCAGGAAACCAGGTATTTGCCCAGAACTTTGTGGGGGACATTCCTTGGATGCCAGCCACAGTAGTGGGAGTCACTGGACCTCGCTCGTACCAGGTGGCACTCGAAGACGGACGTTTGTGGCACCGGCACATAGACCAGCTTAGGCGCAGGGTTGGGGACTTGGACACTACAGCAGTGCCCCCAACTGCGCTCTTGGCTCCGGAACAGACACTTACAGATGGTGAGGCTCCACCTACACCTCTCTCGCAAACTGCCGGCGTGGAGCTGAACCAAGCCACTTCAGATGGTCTGCCGGACTTACCACAGACGCAGACCATTGCCGTGCCTGACATTCCGCCAACTCCACTTGCGGAGGTTCCACCCACAGCAGCAGATCCAGGGGACTTTGTTTCAACGCCACCTAGGGTCGCACCACAGCCTCAGCAAGAATTGGGTGGCCCCCCGGACTTGGCTACCAGTCCCCGGTGGTCTGGCAGAGTTTCCAAGCGCCCAACTTATTTAAAGGACTATGTTGTTGGACATGTAACACTGTTGGTCTAAGTATGTGGAAGTATGTGAAATGTAACCGATATGCTTTTGTGCCTAATTGAACCATTACGTGTAGTGCTGTATATAAGGAAACCATTACGATTGTAACTAATGCCTTATCTCGGTGAGGAGTGGTGTTATGTACTGAAGTTCTCACCCTGGGCCAGCAGGGGGATACTGTAGATAGTTATGCAAATGAAGGATCGAAAGTGACGTTCAGTGATTGGATAGTTTTAGAAAGTTGCTACAGTAACGTTGTACTGGAGCTCTATATAAGCAGGCTGACTGAGCCCTTCAGTTCAGTTCTGTTCTTGCCTCTGAATAAACAAGAGCTGTTTGAAGAATCGCTGTGTCGTCTGATATGTTCACCCACAGCTTAACAGCAGGAGCAGTGAGACATTGATGGCACTTCCTTCTGAAGCCCAACTTGTGGAACAGAAGCCACCTCTCCCTTCTTCATCCTTCTCTTTGTTTGCTGCAAGGAGCTGGACTTAAGAAGGAAGTCTTTTGTAAAAATAAATAAATAAACTATGAGAAAAGAGGGACATGGTTTCTTCAGCTTCTCATCCATTCTTTGCAGGATGTAGCAGTGAGGTTCAGTGAACACTTTTTTCAAAGGTTTAAATTAAGAACATAAGGAAATCCCTGTTGGTTCAGACCAAAGGCCCATCTAGCACAGCCTCCTGTTTCACAATGGCCAAACCAACCCCCACAGGAAGGCCACATTCTGGGCCAGCACTCTCCCCATGAAGGATTCCCAGCAGCTGGTAAGGACCACACCCTACTGCATAATACAGTAGTCTAAGGAGAACTGGCTCTTCATGGCTCATCCCATGGTACTGTTGAAGCTCTGCAGGAAAGTAAAGAGAAACAGAAGGTGCTTCTCCCTTAAAGCCCTTCAGCACAGCTGATGCAGTATTTTCTACAATAACCTGGACATGGGATTAAAAGGTGGTCCACACAGTCCTATATAGCTTTCTAGATTACCCAACAAAGATGCCCTTCTAACCATGCTCTTTCTATAGTGTCTACTCGCAAGTATATCCCATTTAGCAAAGATCCATTATGTTGCTAAGTGAAAGGATTCTGTTTGCAAATTCAGCCTATGTTATTGCTTCCTGTTGATCTGGGCTAGGGATTCGTGATGAGTATTGTACTTCTGATCTGCTCCTTGAAATTTCCCTGATGACACTTTTTCTTCCTGCAGGGGGAGATCTTAAAATTACTCATGTCCTCTATTTTTTATTTGCTTTTTTCAATGGTTAAATAGTGGGAAGGGCCATAGCTGGGTGGTAGAATACCAAAAAGACACCCACCTGAAACCTTGGACAGCTGCTAATAGTCAACAATACTGAGCTACAGGGATCAATGGTCTGACTTGGAATAAGGCCGTTTCCTCTGAGTCCTGCAAAGCATTGGAAGTAAAAAGCCTATCTTAGCTACAAATTGATGGGGCGGAACGCTGAAGGTTTACTCTGAAAATCATGTAGCTGCTCCATAGTAAGTAAGTAAACAAAAGATGGCAAATCCAGAGAAAAAGCACCCAAATGAAAAAAGCACTTTGGAATGAAAACACCCAGGCACTTGCTGTTCCATGCACACGTGCACATGGTATCACCCCCGTCAAATGTTCACTATATGCTTCAACCTAAACCAGATCATGATGTTTATGTAATCTCTGGAACTTCACAAAAAAATCTTAAGGGAAAATCTAAAAATGCTTCTACTTGCTCTCTTCATACTCCACACCAAGCTTAGCTATTCACTGTGGTACTGTTTTCAGTGGTACAAAATTCTGTACAATTAGCCACATTACCCATGTTGCAGCCAAAAAAAAAAGTTCTGTAGCATCTTAAACCACAAACACCATAAGCTTTCAAAGAGCACTTCATTTTAAGTATCTGAGAAACTGCTAATGTTTTTGTCATTCAAAATCAATGGAGCAAAATAAGGGAAGAAGTGATGGTGTGCTATAAAAAGGAAAGCAAAAAGAAAGAAACCAGACTACAATCAGTCCAACTTGCTGGGCTGCTCATAAAGGGAACATAGGAAACAAAATCCAACCCAGAAAGCAAAATTCGGCCTCTAACAAGCAGCCAGTGCAGAAAGCAGCAACAACATGATGCCCCAGAGACAGCCTGCCAGCAGCCAGGACAGAAGCCCAGTGTTCTTTCCAGAGAGGAAAGTGAGCTGGTCATGAAGCAGAGAAATGTTTCCTACTGTACGGAATGCAACAGTTCAGAAAGTAAAAAAGATGACAGCCTGCTTTATTTCTTCCAACTTCCCTGCCTTCATGGCTGGAAGACACAGCAGGCAACTTAGTGGGAAAGGAAGGGGGGAAGCCAGCATCTGCGACGTAGCCAAGAGTCAGGGGTATCTATATGCAGTTGTTAATTCCACACACGGGATTAAGCTCGACCATATCCAATGCATGCATTTCCAAAGAGGTGGCAGTTCCACGGATGTCATTCTTTCCCCTGCTGCTACACAGCAGCTGGCTGGGCGTATGCATTCAGAGGTATGTGGTGGCTGGTGGGCTGTGACGACAGTTTCCAGCAGCTCAGCTACAGAACAGAGAGCTTGTTCCAAGCTCCTCTAGAGGAAGGCCAAGACCTCTTCAAATCTGCAAAAGGTGCACCTGTGGTCTGAGAGCCAGGGAGCTTTGATATAGGTCTTGGGGTCCTTCCCAACTGTGCAGGCAGCCCTTGCAGCAAGCCATGCAACATCAGGAAGGCCTGCGGAAGGGCAGCATGGCCCAGGAAAGAAACTGTAGGCAGCGGCATGTCACCCAGTAAAGTTCTGGGAAGCAGCAGCCTCAGAGGGTTTTCATAGTTTGGTGGGAAGAAGACACTCTGAGAGGCATTGGGGAAAAGAGGGCAGGCACTTAGCCTAGGCCCTCTATAGTAAAAGGGGATAATTATATCATATTGAAGGAAACCATTTCCTGTCCCTAACCTAACACCCAGTGTTAGGATCTGGGATAGGAATGTTAGGAGCCGTGGGGCTCCTGGGACCTAGATTGTGGTCTGTCTAAAAGTAAAATGTCTAGGCGCTCCTCCCCCCCCCTTTTATTTTTGCTGCCTTGCTCCCAGACCAGGAAGCCCTGTAACAACAACAACCAAAAAATCTGCTGGGTGAATTTGTGGTCTGCAGGGTAGCATGGGAGCAAAAGATGCATCTCTTGCTGTGGCACTGCTGGGCAAATTAGGTGTTTGGCAGGGGTAGTGCTACAGAAAAGGATGTGTGTCTTTTGCTGCCGCTGGGCCAGCAGACCAGCTGACTGCAGCCAGACAGGTGGAGACGCTAGGTGCCAAGGGTGGCTCCTGGACATCTCCATCTAGTTGCAAAAGGCTGATTGCCAGTCGCAAAAAACAATGTCCTTTTCCATGTCAAAGCACAAGGAAGCCTCACCCTGCAGTTGTAGGTTAGCCCTGCTTTATAACTTTACAAATGCATAACTGCATTCTCCACTGTCTTTAAATTAGTCAGTTTCTGTTTTGTGGGTGGGAGCTTTAATTAGAGGTTTCATTTCACTCTCAATGTGGGTGATCTAATATTTTATGCCTTTCAACTAACTGTCCAAATATTCATTTCTCAAATTCAGAGTATTTATGAACCAAACATTGTAAACATTTAATTTCCATCCCACTTTCCACTTTCCATCAGCCCTTGTTTTTGCAAAGGTACATTTTAATCAAAAGACCCACTTCGTTCCTATAAGCCTCAGAAAAACCCTCTTCAGGAATCTGCCTGATCGCACAAGGGTGAAAACCCCCATAGAGAGCACAGGTGGACGTAAAAGTTCTAACACTCAGGATCTCACCTCCTCAAATTTGCTTCTCTCAAATTATGGTCCAAACTGTATACAATGCAAGCTCATTCTGGAAATCTGTACTACAAAATGAGAAACTTTGATTTATCCATGCTAATATTTGTTAGGGATTTGAAACTAATACATTGCCTTGATTAAAAAATCAACTCATTCTGGTTAAAACTCTTTCCCCAATGCAAATTCCTGCTCCAAAAGTGACCTTTCTCTCTTCTCTTTTAAAAATTAAACCTAAGTTATCTTACACTTGTTCTGCATTACAGGTAGTTGACCTCAGGATGTTTTTCATACAGTGATTAGCTCCTGCTCTTTGCAGCTCACCTTCAGCCACAACTATCTCTCACCAAGTGACCTAGTTGTTTCTGTGCGAATGAGCCTGGCAATCTTTAAATGGGTACAGTTTGGTTTGACAATTATTTCCCCTCTGTGAATATGACTGTGCGCTCCATCTGCTCCTCCTTCGTCTTTGTCAGGTTAAGCAGACTAGAGAGTTGTTTTCCGTTTCACTTTCCTTGTACAGTGGTACCTCGGGTTAAGAACTTTATCCGTTCCGGAGGTCCGTTCTTAACCTGAAACTGTTCTTAACCTGAGGTACCACTTTAGCTAATGGGACCTCCCGCCGCCACTGTGCCGCCACCGCGCAATTTCTGTTCTCATCCTGAAGCAAAGTTCTTAACCTGAGGTACTATTTCTGGATTAGCAGAGTCTGTAACCTGAAGCATCTGTAACCTGAAGCGTCTGTAACCTGAGGTACCACATGAGGTACATGAGTCCTCAGTACTCTATGCAATAACCCCCATTTTCCTCCTTTCTTAATGAAAAAGGCACATCACACCACAGCACCCCCAAGCAGTAAATTTTCAGCCATTCTTTGACAAAAATGTGCTTGACAGAATTTATTTTAAAATGAACAAAAATGTGAAACAGGATCCTTGATGGGACAATAAGAAGAACAAGTCTTTTGCCTATTGTGTTCACACCTGTCTGTCTTGAAAGACAATGGAGTGTAGTGAATGAATAATAAAACAATCCAGAAAGTCTCTCATTAACCATAGCTTCCCATGTGCTCCAAACTGGGAAACTATAGTCATCAGCTTTGGAACAAGCCAGAATATTAAACTACACTTCAAACTACTATTTGAAGTGGTTCATGATTAATTAGAGTTTTCCTCATCTGATTGTTCACTCCGTCAAGGGAGTTGTGAAGGAGCTGAGTTAACAGGCAAAAGGCTTGTTCATATCTTGCTTTATTAAGGAGAGATAGGATCCTCCTAATCAGACTCTATGAGTTGAGATTCAATAAGGAGTGGTGCAAATAGTTCCTAAAGCAAAATGAAGGCATTGAGAAGGAATAAGGCAAACCTAGAAGTTGGCAAGGGTTGTACAACTTCACTCATACTTGATTCCCAAGTCTTTTGCCAAACCCCCTGTTATGTCCCAAGCCACTGTGAGAGCTAATAATTCTCCCTCAGTCCACAAAAGAGAAAATGGAAATCAAACTCCTTCTGTTTTTTTCAGGGAGGCATCAACAACAAGCAATAGGAACCTACATTTCAGAAACTGTCATTGCAATTCACATCCTGGAGAAAAAATACACCCATGGCAGATTCAAGACTAGTGTAATTCAGGTTCAAGACAACTTTCTCAAATCTCTCCTCCTTCTCAAATCTCAAATCTCTCCTTCATCCAGTTCAAACTGTGAAAAAGGGAGAGATCCACTGTTTGGCTCCCAACCTTTCCTCAAACAGTGATCCACACATTTGTTTGTTCTAACAGTCAAGATAGGTAGTTGAGAGAAAACCAACATTCAGGAACCTGTTGCTTATCAGCTTGCCAGGCTTTTCAGAGACAAACTTATTTGCTACATATTTAATTATATTCCCAATTTTTTTAAAATTTAACTTTCAGGGTTTGTAATAAACAAAGCTTGGAAGAGATGATAGCAGCTGGACGGGAAGTCAAAAGGCATATGCAGTCTGCAGGACATCCTCCATAGAGACCAATGGGTAAAGAAGAAGCACTAGCTTCCAAACTCAGTCTCTCACTCCTGGCTACAATACATACAACTAAGAACTTTTGTGGGCAGGCTTTGCAACCCCAGTTCTGTGATTCATTCACAAGCAATTCGCTCACAGATGACGTTTTTGCACCCAAACTAATCAATAACACAAAGGTATGTCTTCTCAGCTTTATGAACTACTGACACAAAGAAGGGCTCATCCATATCTTGTAGAGCCATGTGGGAACCCAGGTTGATGAAGACACATGGAACAGGCTATGGGTTAACCCACCGCTCAAATCTATATTGGCCAAAACACAGGAGATGACACTAAAAACAATATTTTGATGGCACAGCACACCCCTTTGTCTGCACAAGATTGACTCCCCTTCTATCACCATCAGCTGGTGAGGCTGTTCCAAGCTGGGCACCACCATTCATATGTGGTGGACCTGTGCAAAGATCACCCACTTTGGGGAAGAGATATTTGCCACCCTCCTCCATCTCCAGACACGAGCTGCCACCTTTCCCAACAGTGACTCTCCTGTCAAACATCAATTATAGACTGCATACCAACTCCTACCAAAACATTCCTGGCCTAGCAGCGGCCAGATCAGAACTAGCAGCCCACTAGACATCAGTGCACTGTCATACAACAAATGGCTGAACAGATTATGGCAGATACATAGTCCAGTCAGAAAAACTGACCGGCATTTTTGAGTCACGAGAGGCACTACCCAAAAGACTTGTTCTATGCTACATGGCATCCATTTGTAGAATTCATTAATAGTAGAGCTTCCTGCAGCCAATCAGAAGCTGCACCTTGGTTTCCAAATGTTTTGGAAGTTGAACGGACTTCCAGAACGAATTCCGTTCGACTTCCAAGGTACAACTGTACACATGACCTAAGTATTTCCAAACACAATACAGTGGTACCTCAGGTTACATACGCTTCAGGTTACATACGCTTCAGTTTACAGACTCCGCTAACCCAGAAATAGTGCTTCAGGTTAAGAACTTTGCTTCAGGATAAGAACAGAAATTGTGCTCCGGTGGCGCAGCGGCAGCAGGAGGCCCCATTAGCTAAAGTGGTGCTTCAGGTTCAGAACGGACCTCTGGAATGAATTAAGTACTTAACCCGAGGTCCCACTGTAGTGATTTCTACAGCTAAGAGTGAGAGCCAGGCACAATATAAGAATTCATTGTCGCATAGAATCATAGAACCTTGTTGATGCATTTCATTAGTAAAAGCACAAGTCCATGTGGGAATAAATCTTTCAGGAAATATCTCTAAAGAAGGGACAACAGAAACCATTTCTGAGGACCCATTAGTAGGCGGAGGCCTGGGCCACAAACAGGAGAACTATCACATAAGGGAAAATATTAAGAAATGAGTCCCCAAATGCACGGGGTTAAAAGCGGGTCCTGGGTCTGAAGATACCTGTCTTATTGTACCAGGAACAACTTGTATGTTTGTGTGCTCCCTATTCACCTCACCATCTTCCTCTGCTCACACATCCAGCTTCAGCAAAGCTTTTCTTGTTTAAAGCACTGCTTCCAGAAACATCTGAACTGAGATACTGGGATCTGAGCACTACCAACAAACCAGGATATCAAACAGCATCTCCAAGATCACTCAGACCAGTTTCCCAGTTTGGATAGCAAGAGAAACTATGACTTAAGAAACCAGGAAAGCTCTGTCAAAGCTGGGAGTGCAATGAAGACCACATGGCTAATTCCTGGTCCAGTATTGTTCTGCCTAAACCAGGCCAGTAACTGGTCAAGTATCTTTCCTGAGAAATTCATTCAGGTTTTCAGTTCTGACTTTAATGCTTCCCATGCATATTTCTCACAGGAGTCATTAAAAAAAAAATAGATTGTCTCTCTCATATCATGCTCAAGAGAACAGAACTCCCCCAGAGAGCAGAAGAAAGAATATGTGTTATTCCCATCACAAACATGATCCCAAGGAAAGGGGTAATGAGTTTTTTCACCCCCACACAAATGTCTTTAAATAGAAAACAGCGAATTCGTCTTTCTTTGTGTGTTTACTTGCAGATGGTGGGAGAGAAACAAGCACACTGGCTTATGCATAACTCCTTAACAGAAACAAGCAGGAAAGATACCATTGTGATGTCATGCTTCACAGAGCCTCAACCAATTCCAGGAAGGAAAAGCGAACAATGCACAGCAAATCCTCAGCATGGAATTGATGCCCGACTGGGTGTAACAAGGGAATGCTGCACCCTAATTCCATTAGAAAGTGATCTGGTGAGCGCTTGGGTCCCCTAAAGGCAGTCTAATTTAAAACAGCAATTCCCAGAACAAAAGCTGTCCAGACAGAGAACAGAATCTGGCCGGGCCATTATGCAGTGGCTACAAACCCACATTTTGAACCATCTGCTGCTGAACAAGAGGCCATAACGTTCCCTTGACAAAGGCAAGAAAGTGGCAGTAAAAGAGGACTTGCCTGCATTCTTCGTGCCTCCTTTGACCGACTGAACTAAACAAACCAACACCCAAGATTTAGAAATTGCCTTTCTGAGGTGTTCAGCACTTGCTTAATTTAACACACGAAAACAGTCAAGCTGCCAAGTTAAGGACCCTAAAATGATGTCCAGAAACCCATCACGTGGTGGCTCATGAACTGCCCGGGTCTCACTTATTCACCTTCATTCTGTATTAATGGCATTTGGGGCAGAGAATATGATATTCTGGTCATCCTGGAAGCAGAGCTGTAGCTAGGTGATCCTGCACCCCTGGCAGAACCGTCCAGATTGCGCCCTCTAGCCATGGACAAATGAGCTCTTCTTGCCGCCTCTTCTCCAACCCCCCCCCCCTCCACCCATTCAATTCACCCTCTATGTAAAATCATTTCTTATGAGGCAATAATCAATATTTATATTTATGGACATATTTTTAGCCAATTTTGTGCCCCCCAATCGCCTGCGCCCCTGGCGGGGCCCACCTTTCCACCCCCTAGCTATGGTCCTGCCTGAAAGATGGATACATTTGATTTCCAAACTCTCGTGCAATATACAAAATTAATGTGTGGTTCTATGCATGGGGAGCCCCACTGCATCCTACTGAGGCTCCAGTTCTCTCTGTCCTGCTCTTGGCAACAGAGGTTCTAAAGAAGGATGCAGGATGCCTCTCAATTCCTTGACCTCAGGCACCTGCATTGCATGCCTAGAAACAGCTTCCAATAACAACAAAAAATGGGAATGAGCCAGTAGCAGCCGCTCACTGCAAGCCTATGGTATGCTAAGTGGGATGGGGTGAAGTCGGGGAGTGGCTCCATTTTTCTACAACCGCCAACACACTCGACATGCTCTTAGCAAACGGTTTCACCCAACACTCTCTCTCTCACACCTACCGGCCTGTTCTTGCAGACCGCGGGGGCTGCTGCTGCTCATTTTTAATTGACCATTTTGTTTAGGAGACATCTGCATGATTAGCCCTGTGCTCAAAAGAGGAGCGGGTAACCTAGCAACAATCTGAGTTCTGTAAGAATGAAGAAGACACGTCCACTGTTTTCTTTCAGTAGGAGAGGGAATCTGGCAGGAATGAATGCGCCGGGTGGAAAAGTGAATTTTTGACAAGGAGAAATGATTGGAGGAGGAGGCCTGCGAGAGCAAATGATTCGATAACGAGAAAGTATTTTCCGTACATTTGGACTAGTGGAGCGGCTTGAGGTTTGGCTGTTGCATAAGAGCATCCCTGCCGGGTCTAGCTCCGGTCCCTCCAGTTCCCAAGAGCGGCCGCCTATCTGCTTCTGGGCACTCGCAAGGCGGGCCTGCTGCTCCGCGAGGGCGCCGGATACTCCGCGCTACTCTGCCTCTGAGGAGGGAGGCTCCATCGAGCGCGCGCAGCTGCGCCCAGAAGCAGCTCCTTCGGGCTCGGGGGCAAGAAGCGCTTCGCCCCAGAGGATGGCGCGGCCAGGGGACCGCGCACGCACGAGGAGCCACCGAAGGCGTGGCTAAGCGCAAAGCTCGCCAAGGCGGCGCCCGCCGGCTTCTTCTGCTTTGTCCCCGCCCGGGCATGGCCTCTGAGCATGGGCAGAGCGCCCGGGCGCGGCAGCCAGCATCTTCGCTCTGGCGGGCGCGTCTTGGGGAGGGATGGAGGCGAGGAAGGAGCCACTCACCGAAGTAGACGGTCTTGTCGCACTTGGGGCACTTGGATGCCATGGCGTGCGCGAGGCGGACGAGCGACAGAGTGGAGCGTCTCCGGCGCCGCCGCCCGACACCCCCCCCGCCCGCCGCGCCCCGCCTCCGCCGGCGCCCATTGGCTGCGCGCTCCGCCCGGACCGAGAGGGGGCGGGGCCCGTGGCGCGGGCGGGCGGGCGAGGAGCGGGCCCCCCCCCCCCGGCCCGGCAGCCGGAGGGACGGGCGGGGCAGGGCGGCGGCTGCACTGGGCGCCACTTCCCGCGGGGCGCGCCTCTCCGGGCGGAGCCCCCCCAGGGAGAAGCCGGCGAGGGAGAGGCAGGCGGCGGTGCCCTTCCCTCGCCCGGGGCTGGTTCCCTCTTCCATGGGACAGCCCTCGAGGGATAGGAAGATGGTTATCCTATCTCGCTGCGGCTCGTCTTCACCCAGCCCCTCCAACTGTTCCTCACAAGGCTTGGTTTCCAGACCCTTGAACATCTTGGTTGCCCTCCTCTGCACACGTTCTAGCTTGTCAATCTCCTCCTTAAATTGGACACAGTATTCCAGGTGTGGTCTGACCAAGGCAGAATAGAATGGTACTTTACTTCCCTTCATCTGGACTCTCGACTTCTGTTGATGCAGCCTAGAAGAGCATTAGCTTTTTTTGCTGCTGTATGACATTGTCCACTCATGTTCAGCTTGTGGCCTAATAAGACCCCCACCTAAATCCTTTTCACATGAACTACTGGCAAGCAAGGTGTCTCCCATCTTACATTGGTGGAGGCCCATCTTCCTGCCTAAGTGCAGTCCCTGGGCTGGACTCATTTGGAACAAAATCTTGGGGAAGTGCAGGGGTTATTCTGCTATTGCTTCCCTGTTCCAAGTGTCTAATGTGTTTTAAAATGTCCTTAAGCAGTTGGTGGTGTTAAGTTGTGGGTGAACATATCAGACGACACAGCAATTCTTCAGACAGCTCTTGTTTATTCACAGAACAGGGCTGAAGGGTTCAGCCAACCTGCTTATATAGAGCTCAACTACATGACAACAGTAACAACTTTCTGTAACGATCCAATCGCTGAATGTCACTTTCAATTCCTTATTTGCATATGCAAATAAGTGAAAACTATCTACCTGAGTGAAAACTATCTACCAAATCCCCCAGCTGGCCCAGGGTGAAAACTTCAGTACATAACAACCGTCCCCACTGAGATAAGGCGTTAGTTTTTGCTTCACAGAACTCTAGCCCAATGGTTGCCATCAATTTGATTTGAATTAATTTTATAATGAAATGATTTTAGAATGTTGTATTATTTTATTATTGTTAGCCGCCCTGAGCCCAGCTTCAGCTGGGGAGAGCGGGATATAAATAAAATTTATTATTATTATTATTTATTATTAGTTACAATCGTAATGGTTTCCTTTTATACATACAGCACTACACGTAATGGTTCAATTAGGCAAAAAAGCATATCGGTTACATTTCACCCACTTCCATTAGACCGACAGTGTTACATGTCCAACAACAAAGTCCTTTAAATAGGTTGGGTGCTTGGAAACTCTGCTGGACCGGCGGGGACCGGTACCCAGGTCCGGGGGGCCACCCAATTCTTGCTGAGGCTGTGGCGCAACCCTAGGTGGCGTTGAACCCAAGTCCCCTGGATCCACTGCTGTGGGTGGAACCTCTGTGAGTGGAGTTGGCGGAATGTCAGGCACGGCAGTGATCTGAGTCTATGGGGAGTTCGGCAGACCCTCTGAAATGGCTTGGTTCGGCTCCCCGCCCGCAGACTGCAAGAGAGGTGTAGGTGGAGCCTCACCATCTGTAAGTGTCTGTTACGGAGCCACAAGCGTGGTTGGGGGCACCGCGGTAGTGTCCAAATCCCCAACCCTGCGCCTAAGCTGGTCTATGTCCCAGCGCCACAAACCTCCATTTTCGAGTGCCACCTGGTACGAGCGAGGTCCAGTGACTCCCACTACTGTGGCTGGCACCCAAGGAATGCCCCCCACAAAATTCCAGGCAAAGACCTGGTTTCCTGGAACAAAGGACTGTGGCGCATTAGCACAGCCCGGGGGTTCGGCCACGGCAAAGTCCGGGTGCAGCCGGTCAAGTGGAGATCTGAGGTGGCGGGCCATAAGTACTTCGGCAGGACTCCGCCCTGTGGCCGCATGAGGTGTGATGTTTTGCACAAACAAGTATTCAGAAACTCGCTCGTGCCAGTCTCCCTGGTCCAGGCGCGCCAGTGCCTCTTTTGCTGAGCACACCATTCTCTCCGCTTGCCCGTTGCTGGATGGATGAAATGGTGCCATTCGGGCATGGTGGATGCCCAGTCCCAAAAGGTACCGCTCAAAAGTGCCTGACGTGAACTGTGGTCCGTTGTCGGAAACAAGGACATCAGGACACCCATGCTTTGCAAAGAGGCCTCACAGCACCCGGATAACGGCCTAGGTAGTGGGGGAGGGCATCAGGGCCACCTCCAGCCATTTGGAATAGGCGTCCACCACTACCATAAAGGTCCGGCCGTGAAAGGGGCCAGCAAGATCGATGTGCACCCTCGACCCGGGTGTCTTGGGCATCTCCCAGGTGTGTCCCTTAGCTGCCGGTGGCGCAGGCCTCGATTCTTGGCACGCTTGACAGGCAGAAACCCAGACAGTGATGGCATCGTCCATGTTAGGCCACCAGACGTAACACCAAGCCAACGCCTTCATTTTGACTAATCTTTGAGTCTGCCTTGTGGCCACCCCCTCCACACCCAGTTGAGCACACGGCTGATGGTGCAATCCTGGACAGATGCGGAGGCCACAGTGGCAGCCGATACAGGCGCTGCCGGAAGATCCTCAATGAGGAGGAGCGATGAAGCAGGAGCCGGGTCTTCCACAAACACTGGAAGAGGGCAACGGCTGAGGGCATTGGCATGGCCCATTGATTTTCCCGGGCAATGGACGAGCTGTTAGTGGTAGGCAGCCAGGAAAACAGTCCATCGTAGCATGCGCGGTGAGAGGACTGGTGGAGTTGGTCGATCACCGGCGAGGAGGCCCAGGAGCGGCTTGTGGTTGGTGATGAGGTCGAAAGTCCTGCCGTAGAGGTATTCATGGAACCTCTTCACTCGACCACATTCAACCACCACCAGTTGGAGCAGGATTCCTTTTGGTGTACCAACCTCCCTGCTGCACCAGGGATTCCCTGCCTGAGCTGCTTCAGGTCATGGCAGATGTTCTCCTGGAGACACCTAGGGGATTTTAACATCCATGCCAACATGACCTTACAAGGGGCCACTCAGGACGTCGTGGAAAGCATGGCCTCCATAGAGCTGTCCCTGAATACATCTGGCCCAACACATAGTCACGGACATGCCTTAGACCTGGTGTTCACCTCTAGTGACGTGGGTGATCTGACACTAAGTAAATGTGAAACAAAAAAAGTGCCATGGTCAGATCACTTCCTGGTGCAACTGGACTTCTCCGCAACCCTTCCCCTCTGCAGGGAGATGGGACCAATTTGGATGGTTCGCCCCTACCACTTAATGGATCCAAATGGTTTCCAGAGAGTGGTAGGGGATGCTTTATCCCATGTTGATGGCCTTTCAGCTGATTCCCTGGTGACCCATTGGAATATGGAGTTAACCAGGGCTATTGACTGTCTGGCTCTGATGCGTCCTCTCTGATTGCATGGAGCCCGGACAGCCCCATGATTTCCCACAGAGCTGAGGGTGTTGAAATAATCGCTGAAACGGCTAGAGCGCTGGTGGTGGAAAACTCACTCTGAATCGGACTGGACATGGGTTAGAGCTCAATGTTGAGCCTACCAAGAGGCGATGGTGACGGTGAAGAAGACTTTCTTCACCGCCTCTATTGCATCTGCAGAAAATAGTAGCAGGAGACTCGCAATTTAATGGAACCACCTTTACCTTTGGGGCCTTGTAAAGACCCCAAGATCTCCTGCAACGATTTTGCAAAGTTTTTGCACTTTTGCAGTTCTGCATGCCATACCTTGCCAGCAGCTGCACAATCTTAGTTTTCTGGCTCAGCAGAAAGCTGCCATCAGTAGCCCTGCACACATCCACGCCCAAGTAAGTTTGAACACAACCCAAATCTTTAACCTTGAACTTCTTGCCCAGTTGTGTGGAAAAACTTTTGATTTGATTGTTTTCTTTTGCCATACGCAAAAGGTCATCAATGAAAACCAAACAGAATTCCTGCTTGTCTCCTGCCCCATGAACATACATGCAGTTGTCAGCTATGCTGCGTTTAAACCCTAAAGATACCAGGGTTTTGTCCAAGCACTTGTTCCAATTGTAGGCAGACTGGTGTAAGCCATACATAACTTTGTGTAACCTATACACCTTGTCTGCGCCTGTCTCAAAACCTGGCACTTCAGACATATACAGCTCTTCCTCCAGGTTTGTATTCAGATATGCAGTCTGGATATAAAAATGATTGACTTTGTACTTGCGTTTCGCTGCAATGGCGAGGAGCAAGTGCATGCTCTCCCTCTGTGCAGTAGGTGCAAACACCTCATCAAAGTCAAGCCCTGGCCTCTGGGAAAAACACTTTGCTACCAGGCGTGCCTTGTGTTTAAATCTGCCTGAAGCAAGAGGCTTTAATTGAATACCCATCTACACCCCACCGCCTTTTGGCAGCGAAGTGGATGTGAACACCTCGTGCTCCTGAAGAGATTGCATCTCTTCTTTCATTGCCCCTTCCCAGAGCAAAGCTTCTTCTCATGGCAACTCTAATACCATACTTCTTGGTAACTTTGAGGTTCACAAGCTGCCTGATACGCTTGAGCTAAACCAGCTTTGTTATCAGTCAGGCGGCACCCCCTTTGTGCTTCTTTGTTGTTGTTTTTAAAACCATTTTTATTGATTTTACAATAAAAACAGCCAATTAATATATCCATATCATAATCCAATTAAAAACAATAAACTAAAATAAAAAAACAACCAAATTACTGTCCAAATTATTAATTATAATTTTTGGGGGGGCTCCCCACAGTCTGGACCTTTGAAGTGTATCTCCAGTATCTTCATTCCTGCCTTCTTCTTCTTGTTTTCATATTTTCCACATCTCTATCTTAACGCTTTAAAGTTCTCCGTCCCTGGCTCTGCGATTCTCAG